GGCTTCTATCGCTTCCTCAGTCCAGAAGTGAAGGGGGAGACCATGGATCTTAACCCAGAACGAGATGTCAGATGGAAAGTCATCTGAAACATTAGGCTCCCATCTTTGGAGGAGGATCATCCAACGTTTGAAGTGGAAAGGTCCTTTAGCTAAAATTGCCTGTAGATCTCTTTCAGATTCAAATTTAAACTGGAAGAGAAGAGGTCCAAGATCTCTGCCGGTAAAGTGTCCAACCACAGACCAATGTTGTAGGAAGAAATCCACCAAAGCCCTGGTGTTTTGCATCCCAGGGTTTGTTACATGTCCGATGAGAGTGAATTTGTTTTCTTCTATGAGAGAGACGGTGTTTGTTGCAGGAATGATAACAGGGTTACGTCTAGCTTGTTGAATTGGTAACTCTGTATCTTTTCCTTTTTCAGATCTTGAGTAACGATGCGCCATTTTAGAGATCTGTAGTAGCAGCAAGCTTTGGCAGTGTACTTCGACAAAGAGCAAAGTCTGGGATACTTAAAGTACTTCTACACAAAGTAGTAATTAACACAGCCAACGACCAAGAACCAGAGCATTCAAGCCAAACTCAAATGTGCGTCCACTGGGTAAAGAAGTGAGAGGAATCAGGAGAGTCTCGGTAAATCCTAACCACGCTTATGCACACGGTAAGGTTACCGGACCAGTCAACGCCGTCTTCATTCCGGTGAGAGGGAGGCCGGAAGCGGTCCCACCGACCCGGGTCGGGGGAAGAACCCGGTGGATAAAAACCAAGACGTGGGAAGTAACCACCAGTTAAAGATAAAAAGGGAAGTTTTTTGAAATGTAAAACAGCTTTTCAGAGGTTACTTGCCAAGAAAGGTAATAAACCAGACGGGAAAGTCAAACCCGTGTGCTTTGGACCGAAGGATAGTAACCACCTAAGAAACCGTGTCTGAGAGAGTTTTGATGTTAACTATAGAGCCTATTGGTGTGTCTATTACACACTTAAAAGCTAAGTAAGTCCAACTCTATATCTCATAAATAACCATTGATTTAATTTAAGTAATGCGATTCAATTAACTATATGACTTGTATTATTTGTAACATTCTAGAAAGAGTCCAAATTTAAATGACAACTTGTATCAGTAGATAAAAAGAATGACTCTATTTTAATAGAATATAGATATAACCCCGAAAGAAAAAATTCAAGAAATTTCAATAATATCATTCTAAAAATATGAGACGACTTAAAATGAAAACAAAAACAAAAACGCACCAATAACTTGAAATACAAAATACTGATTATAAATCTTGAAACAATTCAGCAGACACTAATCATCTTTAGGACAGTCCACAATTATTATTATTAACTACACCACTATTAGTGATTAACTAAATTACATTTGTATTGATTTGGGCATTTCTCATGCTCCAAGCATCCAGAGACGACAAGGTCACACCCTTCGTCCCATTATTAAACACGTAAAGCTTAGCTGCTTCACCAATTGCCAATTTGGGATAAACCCTAGAAGTTATCACATTTCTTCCTCCTGCTCCATAGCTCTCTATAATCGAGTGATCGATCTATATAACAAAGTATAAATTGTTTTAGATAGAGAGAAAAGTCTTAGAGTAAAAATAAATCAAATAGTATTGAAGAAAAGGCCAAATATATCTTACCAAACATCTTAATGAGATCTTCTCATGTCTTGGATCAATGTCTAGGAATGTTCCATGCGGAATTTTTTGTACGTTGTCTCTCAACGAAGATCTACATTACCATTTGTTAAAATAAAAACATTAGGTTTACTCAATTTCTTGTTTTATATTATATAGAGGCTAAACTCGAAATGTTACCTATTCTCATCGCTGCCCATTATAACCGAATATCCATTTCCGCGACGAATAATCTTGAAGAAGATCGCAGTTTGTTCGGATAAATCATTGGACGCTAATGCTAGCAACCCAAAAGGCCCGTAAACACATCCCAGCGAGTTGCCACGACTGAACAAAAGCGCATCAGCAACGTGTGTTGCGTCCCGTATCCGAGGGTTATCTTCCAGAGCAGGCAGGTCAAAAGTCACTTCAACGTCTGCCTTTAATAATAACAAGAGAAATATAAGGTGTGAAACAAAGTGAAATACTAGCCGATTGATTCTAGAAACCAGTGTATATTGGTTTGAATGGTTAAATAAATGGGTACCCTTAAATAATCCACAATACATTTTTTTTTTTGTGTTATTGGATCAGTGATTCAAAATATTCAACAAAATTTATTCTTTTTTTGTTTGAAACACAACAAAATTTATTCCTTTACAGATTTTTAAGAACTACCTAACTCCAGTGTGATAAAGTATTTAATTTTTGTCTAGAATTTAACAAATATTTGAATTCATAAATTGGATTTTTTTTTAAACCAGAAATTATTTTAGATTAGAAATATATATGCTCAAACATGATAAGGAGCTTTGTTATTTGGACTAAAATTCTAATAAACTACTTAATGTTCACATAAATATTTAGGACCATGAGTGAAATTTACACACACAAAAAAACTAATTTTACATGAAGTTTTAAAATCAACCTAAATACGTACACAAATCAAATACCATGAGATAAGCATAGCAAAAACTTACTTGTGCTGCAGTAATGCCTGTGATTTCAAACATCGAGCCGCCTTCGAGTTGTCTGTTATGGAAGCTAACATGTCTAGTCCGGAGATTATTGATCTCTTGGATTGGCCATTGCATCAGTCTCTTTCCACTTGTGTCCAGCCACATTTGCCTAGGAACAGCCTAAAACCAATAACAAAATAAGTCATCAAAAATTTATTGACAATAATTTACTCTATTAACCACTATTAAACCTCATTGACCAAAAAAAAAAACCATTATTAAACCTATAAAACTCTATATTATATTTTACCAGAAGGCCAGCCCATCCTTTCTCAATATCATCTTCTCTGCTATCAGTCTCCACAACCCATCCCCAGTTAATCCTCCTATTCTTACCACTATCAAAGAACGACTTGGAGGCGTAAAACCATCCATGATCATATCTCAAATCCGCACTTGTGTAAGTCAACTCTGAGTCCGGGACAAATCTCTCAGTCTCGGAACAATATGAACCAAAAACATAACAATCTTTGCCTCCAAGAGTTTCCTCAAAACTAACCTTCAACACATGCCTCACACTAGAATTATTCACCGAAGTATCTACACCTTCTTTACCCGTGAGAGAAACAGGGAAAAAGTCAACGCACTCCAACATTTCATTAGCTTGTGCCACAAGTAAAGGTTCTTGATACCTAGTCCATTGCTCAAAGTCATCACTGTGGTACAAAAGGGCTACTCCTCTTAGAGTATCTCTCTCCTTAGCTCCTATGAGAACTCTCCACTTACCATCTTGACCTTGCCATGCAGTGGTAGGGTCACGGAAACAGTAATAAAGGATGTCTTCTGGTGGAAGCATGACAGGGTTTTGCTTTGGCTTTACCCACTCACGAAGCAAAGGGTCGGAAGCATCTTTAGGTTCAGCAAGAACTGTGACTTGAGTTCTGTTGGTTGTGCTATCGAGTCCTGTGTACAAGATCACAGGTTTGCCATCGGGGAGAATCGTGGCGGATCCTGACCAGCAGCTGTTGATGTCGAAGGGTTCAGAGGGAGAAAGTGCTGGTTGGAGTTGGATCCAGTTGACCATGTCTTGTGAAACAGAGTGGCCCCATATGATTTGTCTACTGAACTCGGGAGCCAAAGGGTTGTGTTGGTAGAATAGATGGTAGAATCCTTTGTAATACATTGGCGCTGAAACAACATTTTTCAACATAAATATCATCATCAAGTTAAAAGTTATAGGTTACTTGTAACACAAGTTAAGGTTTAATTACCGTTTGGATCTTCAGATTCCAAGGATTAGAAGCGACATAAAAAGATTAAGACAACAGTTAGTTACTTTTAATCCACATTCCACATAACAATATCATTATCAAAACTAACAGCTAACTTCCAATGTAAAAATAAAATAAAAATCATAACCGTTGAGCCAATTTCTCTGAGGTTGGAAATGGAAGGAAGTCCGGTTAAGAACTTCGTTTTGAACCGGAAGATTCTGGACGTTTCCATCTTCAGCCATTGATTGATGATCTTACTGATCAGTTGATTTGAAAATGATGTGTGTTATGAATATGTGTGTGGCAGTTTTATAAGCATTCTTGGGATCTTGACAAGAAAATGATTAAAGAGTCGTCATGAAACTTCGTAGTCATTAGAATGCCATTAGCGTTGACATTGCCAACATAGTATCGTGGAAGAAACTCTCAATATAGTTGTTTAATTGTGATATTTTGGTTTTTGAGTCTTTGTTAACAAAGTCTTGGCAGTGAAGAGTATTTGGGTTATTCATTAATTGTTCATTTCTATGATCGAGGAAACTTCTGCAGGCAGGGTTAGTGTATTATACTGCATTTTGCTAATCAACTAGGTCGTTGGTCTTTGTTTACATATTAAAAGAATTCTCCTTTCAATACCCAATCACTTAAGGCCTTAAAATCTATAATTAAAACAAAGAGACAGCATTATTCATGCACTTCTTTTCTTAGTAATATATGTTTTGGAGAAACAAATAATTTTTATCTCTTGCTAATTACAGTTACTTTACAAAACAATGGTATGATCACTATATATCAGGAGTTGTTCACAAACAACATTAGTGAAAACTCTTGCTTTCTATTACACAAAGTCACAAACTCATACCAAAGTTGCAGTCACTGTAAAAAAAGTTTTCTTTTAATTTCAAATAAATTTAATATTATTTCAAAAAACAAATAAAAAATTGGTGCTTTTTGTAAAAAAATTGAAAATGCTGATCATTTATTGTAAATACAAAAGACATATCTTTGTCCGAAACACGGGCGTAATTTTTCAGACAAATCGGCAAAACATTAATTGCAGTCGCCGGTGGTCTTCTGATTGAACGGACACCGGCACACACCACGAAAGACATAATCTTCCAGGTTTCTCCTCCGCGCAACGATGTCAGAGACTCGCCGGAATCAATCTAACAATGAACGACGAATCGACAACTCCGGTAACTTCATCTCTCTTTTTTCTCGATCCATGACCCCTTAAGTTGCTAGGCCTTGAACAAGCAATTCGATTGTATTGATCATAGAAACCTCCGAACAAGCTTTGTTTATAGCAGCTTGAGACAGTGTTATTGATGGGGTGAATCTTTTATTTTTTGTATGAAGAGAATCAACACAGAAGAGTTGTAATAGAGAACAGTCATGGTGAGAAACTCGTTGGGGTTTTGCAAGATACAGGCTCAACCGAGACTGTTGTCATCTGCCATGGTTTTCAATCATCAAAGGTTTTCTCTTTTGTAGCATTCTCATTAGTCTTGTTCTTCATCATTTGTAATTTGTGTTTGTATTGTTTGATAATCTTTTAGGATCGTATCCCTATGCGGACAATTGCTAATGTCTTTGAAAGAGCGAAGATCACTACTTTCCGGTTTGATTTCGCTGGCAACGGGTGAATTATAAGTATCTTCTTTTTGTTATTTCTTACAAGAATGAAGTGTATGTTGTTTGCTTTAGTCATGTCAATGGGATTCTTCAGGGAAAGCCAAGGATCATTTCAGTATGGTAACTATCGCCGTGAAGTTGAAGATCTACGTTCTGTTCTTCAACACTTGCGTGGGGAAAACCGTGAAATTTCTGCAATCATTGGACATAGTAAAGGTAAGGTGGATTTTTTTTTTGTTTTGGATTTCAAGAAAAAGGTTAATATGCAGACTGGTTTTGTTGTTGTTGTCAGGTGGGAATGTGGTGCTTTTGTATGCAGCAAAGTACAAGGATGTGGAGATTGTTGTGAATATCTCAGGACGGTTTTTTCTAGAGAGAGGGATTGAAGGGAGGCTTGGTAAGGACTACTTGAAGAGAATCAAAGAGAATGGGTGCATCGATGTTAGGAACAGAAAGGGTACACTCTTTTCAGTTTTTTTTTTTTTTGCTTTGTCTTTGTGATTGTTAGAGCCAAATACATATGGAGTTTAAAGCTCATTGCCTTCTTTCGTAGCAGGAAAGTTTGAATATAGAGTAACAGAAGAGAGTCTAGTGGACCGTCTCACCACCAATACTCATGAAGCATGTCTCTCAATTCATGAAAACTGCAGGTAAAACTCTATAATGATTTGTCTCTTTTGGTTTCAGTATGATGGCTGAACTGATGATTATCTCAAAAATTCCAGGGTGTTAACAGTTCATGGTTCAAACGATAGGATCGTGTCTGTAACAGAAGCATATGAATTCGCCAAGTACATAAAGAATCATAAACTGTGTCTTATTGAAGGAGCTGATCATGAGTTCACTTCTCACCAGCATCAGCTTGCTTCTACTGTGTTGTCATTCTTCAAATCAGATCTCAAGAAGGCCGATGATGGTGATGATGAAGGTGATATCAGTACAAGTAACCGAGACTCCATGAGATCAGCTATTCCGATTACTTCAAGAATTTAAAAATAGATTTGTTCAGTATAGGCTTCTTAGTCGATTTAGTCTGAGGTGGTCTGGTTTGGTAATAAGCACATTAAGATTATCAAAATGTTTTGAACAAAAAAAAAAAGATTATCAAAATGTTCTTATGATTTATAAAATCTTCACGTTAGTTACTCTGCAGTCTGTAATATGTTTATACACTAAATTGATAAGAAAGATTAAAAAAAAATCGTTTTAAAATGTTAAGATCCACAAAGAAAACAGAGAAGTTTGGTAATAAGAAAAACACAAGGGAGGACTCGGAAACTAGTTTGTCTACATGAACCTTCCATGCCAAAAAAAACAGGACAAAGGTATTCATCAACCAGCCTGAACCTTCTTCCCATCTTCAATGAAGAAAATAGATCTTTCAGGTACCTGTAAACAGGCAATGCAACTGTCATTAGTTTCTGAAACAGATATAAAGAAGTAATTCATATGAATGAACGCAGAGAAACAAAAGAGATTGTGTTACGTCGGGCCAAGTGTCTGTAATGAATTCAACGATGTCATAGATTATATCTCCTTGAACATCAATCTGCTCCTTTTCAGTTGGTCCCTGAAACATAGAGAAACCTAAGCATAAGAGGAAGAAAGGGAAACAAACAGAGTGTTTTCGATGCAGTGAAGGGTCAAAAGTTATGTATATACAGATTTTGCAATTAGAGACCCAAAAGGTCTAAACTCTAAGAAACCATAAGCTACTCAACCTAGATCATACTTGTTCCCACTTCTCAGTGATCACAAGATCACTGATATATCTAAGCACATAACATATGATTCACATTTGATTTGCTATCCATCTTCTACGTACCTTGACAACTGATGCTCCAGTAGCAAACTTCTTCCCAAGCTTTTTAGACGCGTCACTGAGTTTTATCCCTGATGAAAACATTTTAAAGGGTCAAAAGAATGAGGTTTGTACCAGCCAATGCAGAATACTTAGATATCTAACTAGAGAAGCAAAAAACTCACCAAAGCCTTCTAGTCCTTTCACAATGGTGATACACTTGCGCTTGTTTCGGACAACTTTTTCAATAATAACTTCTTGCCTCTCCTATTCAGAATACGAAAGTATTACATAACATGTAGTCTATTCAAAAGTGTGGTGACGCGTTTAAACATTCCAGAAAAAAATCCCAGGAGGAAGTTTACACAAAATTACTTACTTTCTTTTTAACTTTTCCCCCAGGTAAACGTTTCACTTCCTCCTTCTTGGATGTCCCTCCTAAACATTTGAAATTCAAAACAAATGCTGATACCTTTCCACATATACATCAACACTAATCGCTAAAACTAATAACATCATGTTTAACCAGATTCCCCCAGCAAAATAAAAACATTACAGAGGTGGAATTCAACATACCAATGCACATGAACAAATATGTGTGACGCTCGCATTAAGCTTGCACATATAAAAAGGCACACGCATCCATGGATACATACCAGTCTGAGATGAAGAGGTTGCAGCACCATCAGCGCCAGAGATTCCAACGGCCTGGAGTTTGTCAGAAACATTATCTACTCCCTTCTCATTAGCTTCTGTAACATATAATTATTAATCTGTATCAAATACTGTTATATATTTAAGTGAAAGGGTTTAAGTGAAAGGGTGCAATGAACCATTGCAATTGTTTATGTGAACAATTGCAACTACATAAATAAAAGCTTGCAACTATTGATGATTACAACCTTTGGTAATAACCATATTAATGATTGCAACCTTTGGTGATAACCATACTAATATTTGCAACCTTTGGTGATTAAACATATTAATTATTGCAACCCTTGATGATTAACCATTGTAGCTCTTTACTAACCATTGCAATTGTTGGTATTAACAATTGCAACTCTTCATTAACCATTGCAACTATTAGTACTAACCATTGCATCTTTTGGATTAACCATTGCAACCATTGGTTGCAACCTACCTTTCACTATCTATATAAAGAGATATATGCATTGGCAAAAGAGACAGAGAAAAAATCAGAAACTAATAGTTAGTAAGAGAGTAAGAGAGAAATAGATTTATTGTTCAAAGATCATCAAAGATCTTTGAAGAAACACATATAAGCATTAAAACTCTATTTGTTATTCTTGTATCTTAGCCTAGAACAAGAATGTGACTTTGATTGTCTTATCCTACAAAGGGATTTCGTGTAACCCAAAGGTTTGGAATAGGGTCGAAATACTCTTTAAGTAAAGTGATCTCGTGCGCGATTCAATCATTATACAAGTATATAATTCACAAATTTCTGGGTTACAACCCGAATAACCAACAAATACTAGTAATAAGTCGTTAAAATCAGATTAAAGTTATTGTCATAACCATGTAGTTACACACAACGTTAGCATTATAAATCGAAGGTACAATAAGATTAATTCAAATACAAACTAGTTTGGAGAAGTTACCTTTGATAAGGGTTTGATAAGTTACCTTTGAGGAGATCAGGATAGAGGTCAGGGGCGTTATCAATGAGCCACGGTTTACATCTCGCGAAATCTGGACCGAACTCACAATATTCAGCGGGAAGAGAGCAAACTCCACAGTACAGAACCTTCGCCGGCTCGAGCTTCTCCGCCATAGATTGTGATGATATTCCTTTTCTAGAAGCGAAAACGAGATTCTTTAGGTAGACAAAGTAGAAGTTACGTTTGATTTCTACGCTGCCCCCACGAAGCAACTGATGTCGGAAACCGGAAGAGAAAGAAAAAGTGAAAAAGGCTTAGGACATGTCTTGTTGGGCTTTAAATTTCAAATTTAGACATCTTGGTTCGAATTGGGCTTCAACTTTTTTTCTTCAGTTTAAAACATTAACTTCTCAATCAATTTCTTCGTTTATTGGCTTTATATGGTAAAAATAAGATGAGACATTCAAAACTTACCTCAATGAACCATTTTTAACATTTGAAACACGCATGCCTGGTAAACTTAAATCTTTTTGGATGTTTAAATTAACCTTTCATAGTACCATAGCTGAATGAAATGATTGATTATATAACATGCAACTGCTATATATAAAATACTATAAGCAATGAATCTATATCCCCCCACCATGGATTAATAAGCTCTGCAGAAAGATCTCTCTGCTGGTCTTTGTGTATTTACATCAGAAGTATTAATAGATGTAGGTTAATAAATTGTCAGTAAACAATTAACATAAATGGGGAATATATAATATAATTTGTTTGATAACGAAAATATAGTACATATTTATAAATTAATATATTGGTTAAATGATATAATAAATACAACGAAACATTTGAATTGGAAATATTAGATGAGTTATGTAAGAAAATGATTATGATTGTTTGAGAATAATTATTTAAAGGAATATTATATTAAGGTTAAGTTAATTAAGATAGCCTAAATAAAAAATGATTATTTTCTGTTTTAATAATATAAAATTGTTCTCTCAAACAAATATCACTAAATCATCAAAGGCTGCAGATAACATTCCACAATATTAACCCGAAATTATATATTAACATATGACATAGATAGATGGATACATTTACATTTTATAGCATTCAAATTACAATTTTATAACAATCAAAATCAATGGGCATCTTCTTTTTCTTCTGGCTCATTTATAAAAAAACAGAGGCCCGTTACAAAACGCAAATCAGAGAGAATCTCTTCAAAAATCCTAAGCTCTTACTCGATTACTCTCTCTCTCTCTCTCTCAAGAAGAAAGCTAAGCTAGAAGATCTTGATGGAGGTTAGCTTGATTCGAATCTTTATTCTCGTTAGGTATCTCCGATTTTGAATGCTTACGATATGATGAGAGTCAACCCTTATTAGGTTTATGAATAACAATTCAGCTAAAAAAGTACGAACTTTGCACGAATTGCCAAATAAAACCTAAACTCAAGAACTCCAAGCCAAACAACATGGTCAATATATATGTTCGTGTTTGTTATGGCAATTCATGTAAAATTGGAGTTTTTTTTGGTTGAATTCCCATTTAGGAATATGTATTTGGGAAGGGAATATGAAAAGAAAATTGTACTGCTTGTGTTCTTGTTCTCATCACGATTCTCTCAGGTTTGATTTTCGAGGAAAATGAAGCTGATGCGAGAATCAACAAGAAAGCTAAGCTACAAGAGGCTGATGAGAGAATGCTAGACGTAAGAAGACACCTAACCATGCTCATCATGGGGCACTCTGGATCTGGAAAATCGACTATTGTCGAACAAATACTTGTTCTCACCGGCCAAGTCATCGTTGAATAACTGCAAGAGTATGAAGAACTAGCAATAGCTAATGACAGAGAAGGCCGATGAGTGTTGAGTTTACATAACATTCATTAACGTTCATTGAACTTTCAATATCTAATGGATTATTGGTTTGTGTATTTCACACTTGGCGTACATAATGGCCACAGATGATTCTAAGAGGCTCAATGTAAGTATCTCATTAGTGTTTTTTTGTTTTTGTTTTTCTTTGTATGTCTTTCATTAGTGTTTTTCTTATGTGATTCCTTTGACAGGGTACAAAGGCGCTTGGTAATCCAAACGTTGATATTAGAAGCAGGTCCTATACCATCTTGGATGCACCGGTAAGGATTGATCAACTTAGTATAACCCTTGTTTATTTTTCTTCTGATTTTCTTATATGGTTTTTTTTGTAGGGTCAAAAGACTGGTCTTCCATAAGTGATCAGAGGTGCCTATGAAGCAGATTTTGGTATAGTGAATAATAAATTGAGTCTTTAATAGATAAGAGATTAGTTAGGATTGATATCTAAAACGTATCATTGTTCTTGTCACTTGCGTAGGTTATTTCAGCCTCTGATGGGGAGTTTGAACAAGGATTTTCAAGTCTGACTCAAGAACAAGTTCAACTCGCAAGCGCTTTTGGAGTAGAGAAACTAATTGTTCTCGTTAACAAAATGGACTCGGTTATGTGGTCTAATGCTAGACTAGGATAAGACATGCGCCTTGCGCGGGATGAAACTATTATTTTTATTATATTTTGAAAAATGAAACAATAGTTCGGTTTCATTCGGATTAGAGGTGTTCAATCCGGATATCGGGTTTCGGTTCGGCTCGATTTTTTGGTATTTCGATTATTAAAATATAACTACTATTCTAAATCTATATGTACTTCAGTTTGATTTAGTTTATATACCATCGGTTTTCAGTTTATTCAATTTTATACCAAAAACATGATTATTTAGTTTGAGATCATATTATATATTATACAAATATATAATATGATCATATTTAGAGTCATATTGTCGCAGAGTCATTTATTTAAAAAATATTATATATTTAAATAAAAGAATAAAAAACAAAAAAGGCTTCTATCATCTAATAAAATGATCAAATCTAGAATTAATATCAAAACACTAAATTTTGAAAATAAAAATAAAAAACAAAACAGAAGCATGAAAGAAAAGTTTTTATATTCTTCCATATTTAGTGTTCATCAAACCAATATGTCTTCGACTGAACACAACTTTGTTTGTTTAAAGATAAAAAAAAGTTGTAAAAAATTTCAACTAATTGTTGTCCATCAAATTTATAATCTTTACTTCAATTTAGTTACTGTTAAAAAGCAAAAGATCAAAAATAAGAAGTCTGCGTTGTAATAAATTGTTAGCTATTTACAAATTATAATTATAGTTCAACTCATGTAACAAATAGATATTCATGCGTCGTTATAAATATATACATATTTACATGTTTCAGTTTAACCGGTTATAAATCAAACCATATCTAAATCATATGGTTTTTATAAAATCACATCCATTCAGTCTGTATGGTATATACCAAAAATAACCATATTATCGATTGTTAATATCTTTTAAAAATATAAAATTAAAAAAAGAACTAAGATATTTAAATCATTGATAACAAAAAATTTCAATGTGAAAAATTTAATAATTTTATAATTTATAAATGTTCTTGAAAATTTATTCAGGATTTTGAAATTAAAATATTTATGTAATCTTATATGGTATATAGTTTAATCTGTATATATATTTGTTTTATTATTGAATGATATTTTTTACTTATATGGCTTTAAAATCATGTATATCTTTTTATAATAAAAATGTTAAACTATTGATCATTAATTTTTAACATAATAATTTTAATAGTTTAGTTATTTATTCTCGTTTTTTAAAATTCAAAATATAACCTATACGAAAAAATCTAAAGTTTAATATATAGTTAATTTGATTGTTTAATTTATTTTAATAATATAAAATTAAAGAAAATGATGGATGATATATAAACTGTTATCAAATATTTATTATTAGAATCATTAAGTGTCCTATATATATATATATATATATTAGTCATTTATGGTAATTTCGTAGGTTTTATTTATGGAAAGAAAATAAAATAGTAATTATATCGAGGGGAACAATCATAAATGCTTTTATCATAAATATCATATCATATCATCATATCATATAATTTGACCAACGAATGTATCTAGCGACATATAAAAATCGAATGTGGACCTACTTTTTTCAATTGAATGTAATTGACAATCTAATTGAGTGACACCTAGGTATGGGGTCTTTTTTAATTATTACAAAATTGAAGTTACAATTTTTTAAATGTTTCTCCTTTAATATATAAGGGATTTGAGGAAATAGAAGAAAAGCTCTCCTCGTTTCTGTTTCACAAAAATAACTTTCTCAGCAAGAATGGTAAGTAAGCACTAAATTGTTAGACCTTAAATTCCATTCATTATATTAAACTAATATGGTATTTTTTCAGTTTTCTTCGTTTATTGGCTTGGTAAAAATAAAATGAGACATTCAAAACTTACCTGAATGGACCATTTTTAACATTTGAAACATGCATGCCTGGTAAACTTAAATCTTTTTGGATGTTTAAATTAACCTTTCATAGTACCATAGCTGAATGAAATGATTGATTATATAACATGCAACTGCTATATATAAAATACTATAAGCAATGAATCTATATCCCCACCTTGGATTAATAAGCTCTGCGAAAAGATCTCTCTGCTGGTCTTGTGTATTTACATCAGGGAACCAAAAGTAAAGAAAGACAGGTGAAGCACGTTCTCTTAAATGAGTGATAGATCACATAATTCAGCGTCTAACATTTAACACAATCTTTTCCATTGCGTTCTTCAATAGTGTCTTTGTTTTTTGTTTTTTGAATTTGTAAGATTTGGTTAATGTTTCTATACTATGATGATCTTACTTCAATGCTCAGTACTAGTTCCTCTCAACTATAATGCAACAGTCACTGCCATCTCCAGCCTTTTTTAGTACTCAATTCAATTCCTTGTATTACATTTATGTTTTGTCTTCTTTATAATAAGACAGTCCCAAAACAAAACTCCAAGAAACTTTTAGAAGCCGTGAATTCTCTGGCCTTTCTCTACTAAAAACAAACACTAATCTTATCCCATCTCTCTGACTCTCCTCTGCAAACTTTTTATCGAACAAACTGAGAAAAATAAAAAACTTCTTTTGGACCATTCCAAATAGTTTCACAAATTTAGAAACAACCCAAAAACAAATAAAAATTCCATTACAAACTCCATTTCCAAACCTTAACACTCAGATCAGACTTACACTTAGTCTGTTTCGAAGTCGCCACTATCGGAACTTTACCTTTAGGTACCGTCCCTTCGAACCCTCCACACGTCACTTTAATCTCCACACCTTCACTCTTCAGCCTCCCCATCTGCATCTTCACCTTCGTCACCATCTCAATCACCAACCCCACGCGCGCCCGCGCCAGATCCGACTTCAAACGCCGCGCCTCCTCCGGATCCATCTCACGCGCCGAACCAGACGTGGCGATCACGCTCCTAAACGACGTCTTGTTCCCGTTACCACTAAAAAAGCCAGGAACCGTGCCGTTCGCTACCACCTCGTTAGATTTAACGGATGTGACCGTTACGGCGAAGTGGTCGTAGGAGAAGGTGAGGTGCTGGTTGGGGTTCACGGAGATCAGCGTGAAGTTGAAGAAGGAAGAGAGGTGGGAGACGGAAGCGTCCGAGGAGGTGGTGAGGTTCACGCGGTTTATACGGAGGGACGTGACGGAGAAGAGCGGCGGACGCGGGTGGTAGATGACGTATACGGCGGTGGCGGCGATGGAGGCAATGAGGGCGAGGATGAGGAGGATGAGGATGGACCAGAAACAGCAGCAGCAGCAGACTCGTCGGCAGGTTGGTCGTGATCGGTGGTGGTGGTGGCGGCTGTATGGCTGTGGACGGTAGACCGGAGGACGGTTAGACGGAATGTAGACTTGAGGTTTCTGGTTACCGTTAACAGACGGAGGAGGTGGTAAGAGCATCTTCATCGCGCGTATATTGAGGGTGCCTTATGATTAAATGAAAATCAAAAATACAAATAAAAGGAAGGGGCGTATATTATTTGGGGTTCGCTGAGGACGGTTTCTCGTGACACGTGTAAGGTAGATGAGAGGAGAGAGGAGAAACATTTGTTTTGGTTTGGTTTTTGGTCGGTCTGTATTCTCTCGAACTCTCTATTCTCTCGAGAGACCGGCGAAGGCGATTCCACCTCTCTCCGTGGTTCCTCGACATACCGTCGAAACTCCCTCTCTCTGCGTCGTCGTCGTGGTTCGTCGACACACCGGCGAGACCCCCTCACTCCTTCTCGTCTTGGCGAATCGTCCCTCTCTCTCTGTGGAAGTCGTCTCACCGACCGCTCTGTCTCTCTGTGGATCTATCATGCATGTCTCATCTCCGTCGCGATGGAAACGCCGAAGACTTCTCTGATCCCGAGCTTCCTCTATTCCTCTTCCACATCTCCGAGATCTCTTCTGAGCTCCAACTCCAACGCCGCGTTCACATCCACCAATCTCGAGAAGTCTCCTTCTCCGGCCACGACGATGGTGTCTCGGAAGAGTTTCCTTATTGCTCCTCCCACGGAGCCAGGGAAGGCGATCGAGATGTACTCGCCTGCCTTCTACGCCGCGTGTACCTTCGGTGGAGTTCTCAGCTGTGGTCTGACTCATATGGCTGTTACTCCTCTCGATCTCGTCAAGTGCAATATGCAGGTTTGTACCTAACTCTTTAGATCCATTATCATTCATCCATGTGTTAGAGATCTGCGTTTTAGAATTTTGTTGTTTCTATGATTGTTTCAAAACATTTTAAGTTCAATTGAGTGTTCTGTCTAAATTTTACATGAAGTTGTATGTTGTGTCTAATTGAGTGTATAAAATTTCTGAATTGCGATTTATAATGAATGAACACAAAGGTTTAAACTTTGAAATCAGATTCGAACTTCTGTTTGATCACGTTGTATTTTGATAATGTTCTTGCTAACTGATCATTTTTTATTTTTGGGTTCTGTATGTTGGGTGCTGAGATAAACGGATCAAATCGATGTTCAGTGGGAGACGAGGGAGCTTCATCAATCCAGGTTAGTATTACTCTAGACAAAAGTTACAATTGTTAGAAGTGTATGTGTGTTAGTGTATTGAAGTGTTTGTGGGTTTACGATAATTAATGGTTAGGTGTGGAGTTTTTGAATTTGAAAATAATTGTATTTAGGTTTGAGTTTTTTGAAGTGATGGTTGCTTTTAGAGTTAGGTTATGGTTGTGTTACCGTAATAAATAAAAGTTATTGTGTAGCTAGGAAAGTAAAGCAGAAGCTGTTGTTTGTTGTTAGATATATGTCAACTCCATAGCTGTTTTAAAGATGATTAAATTGTGTTGGTTGTGTGTGTTGAATGCGATACTTCTTTCTCTGTTTTGTTTTATAAATCAGTGTCTTCTCGTTCCTTATTCCACACATGAATGCGCCTTCTCTTGTTTCCCATGTTTCCCATGATTCTACTCTTTCCCCGCTTTATCCTCTGACTCCTGTTGTTTTTTTGTCTACTCCTTCTCATCTGTCTCCTCCTTCTCCTTTGTCTCCTCCTTCTCCTCTGTCTCCTGTTGCTCTTCTGTCTCCTTCTTCTCCTCCGTCTCCTCCCTCTGTGAATTCGAAAATGGATTTCAATCCATTTCAAGACTCTGCCAATTTTGTTGACTTACTCAATAGTCAACAAAATGTGGTATTTGGCAGTCAAGCTTCCCCTGTTTCATCTCAAGCTAACCCGGTTGAAGCAGAACGAATGTCAAGAAGGTCGTGGACAGTGACTGAGGACATAGTGCTCATTAGCGCGTGGTTGAACACGAGCAAAGACTCCGTTGTAGGCAATGAGCAGAAGTCTGTGGCTTTTTGGACAAGAGTTGCAACATACTTCTCAGCTAGTCCCAAACTGGCTGGCTCTGAGAAAAGAGAGAGTCGTCAATGCAAGCAACGTTGGCACAAGCTCAACGAATCCGTTTGCAAGTTTGCTGGTGCGTATGAAGCAGCTAAAAGAGCCATGACCAGTGGCACGAATGAGAATGACATCCTAAATGAAGCATACACAATTTACGAAACCAACCACAAAAAGAAATTCAGCTGGGAACATGCCTGGAAGGAACTTCGCTACGATCAAAAGTGGTGTGAGCTTGCTTCAGCTAAAACATCCACCGGTTCGAAGAGGAGAAAGTTCGACGATGGTTCTCATTCAACAAGCTCTCAGGTCAATGAAAATGAGGCTGCTTTAGATGGAACATCTCGTCCTCAGGGTGTCAAGGCTGCAAAAGGTAAAGGGAAGACGCTGCAATCAGCAGAAGATTTGTCTGCGTTCCAAAAAATGTGGAGTATTAAGCAGAATGACTTGGCTGAGAAGCAAATTGTCTCCAAGCTGAAGATACTCGAGTGTCTTGTTGCAAAGGATAACCTAGCTGATTATGAAGAAGAGATCAAGAAGAAACTCCTTAAGGAGTTGATATAACTCTGGTTCATGTTGGTTTCATGCTCCTTTTATGTTTAAATCCATGTTCACTGTTTATGTTTCATGCTCCTTTTATGTTTCATGCTCCTTTGAATGTTTAAATGGCATGTGTGTGTTCTAATGTTTAATATAATTCGGCTTATGTTTCATTTTATCTTATTGTTCTCTTTATTGTTCTCTTTATATTTAAAGTAAAGATTTCTTTATGTCAAATTCTCTTTACGTTTTGCAGGTTAATTTGGACAGAGTGCTCACGGACGTACCTGTTGTGTCACAGAGAAAGAAGTGTCCTGTTGTGTGAAAGAGAAAGAAGTGTCTTGTTGTGTCAAGTTGGTCACAGACTTGTTGTAATTTTGTTGTGTCTTGTTGTGTCTTGTTGTGTCAAGTTGGTCACGGACCTGTTGTAATTTTGTTGTGTCTTGTTGTGTCTTGTTGTGTCAAGTTGGTCACGGACCTGTTGTGTGAAAGAGAAACATCTTGTTGTAATTTTAACTGTCTATATAATGTACATGTAACAAGAGGCAAATCATCTTTCTCTCATCTATCTATTATCTCATCTTTCTCTCTGTTATGTCTTTTGTCTAAAAAAAAACCAGTGTTCTTTCTTTTGGTCACCAAAATTAACAAGAGGCAAATCATCTTTCTCTCATCTATCTCTTTTCACTCTTTGTTCTCTTTTTATAAAACTCTTTAATCACCTCTATGGCTTCTTCTTCTCAACCCGGTTTAGATCAATCATTTGATGATGCATTTGATGACTTATTTGATCAACAATTTGATCAATTCTTTGATCAAGCGTTAGAGAGAATTACCATTCAAGATGATCAAGCCCAATCAAAAGCAAGGACAAAACGAGCTTATATCGAAAGAGCCCGTGAAGAAGGTCATATTCGTTTATGGAATGATTATTTCAGTGAAACTCCAACGTATCCTCCTAATTTATTCCGAAGACGTTTTAGAATGAATAAGCCATTGTTCCTGCACATTGTCGATCGATTCGCCAATGAGGTTCAATATTTTCGCGAAAAGAGAGATGCTCTGGGAAGGATTAGTCTCACTCCCCTTCAAAAGTGTACCGCAGCTATTCGGGTCTTGGCGTATGGTGCTTCTGCTGATTCGGTCGACGAATACCTCCGACTCGGTCAATCAACAACTCGTTTATGTCTGGAACACTTTGTGGACGGAATAATAAATATGTTTGGTGATGAGTACTTGAGAAGACCAACACCGGCTGATCTTCAACGTCTACTTGATGTTGGAGAATATCGTGGATTTCCCGGGATGATAGGAAGCATCGATTGCATGCACTGGGAGTGGAAGAATTGTCCCACTGCTTGGAAAGGGCAATATTCACGTGGTTCGGGTAAACCAACAATCGTTTTAGAGGCGGTTGCTTCATACGATCTCTGGATATGGCATGCATTTTTTGGAGCTCCAGGTACATTAAATGATATCAATGTTCTTGATCGTTCACCTGTTTTTGATGACATAATACAAGGTCATACTCCGAATGTCACTTATTTTGTCAACGGAAGAGAGTATCATATGACTTACTATCTCACTGATGGTATTTATCCGAAATGGGCAACTTTTATCCAATCTATTTCTTTACCACAAAGTCCGAAAGCAGTTTTATTTGCTCAACGTCAAGAAGCTGTCCGAAAGGATGTCGAGCGTGCTTTTGGAGTCTTGCAAGCTCGCTTTGCCATTGTCAAAAATCCAGCATTGTTTTGGGATAAAGTTAAAATTGGGAAGATTATGCGAGCATGTATCATACTCCATAATATGATAGTACAAGACGAACGAGATGGATACAATCAACATGATGTTTCAGAGTTCGAACAAGGAGAAGACCACGGTACTTCACATGTCGATCTGACATATTCTACAGATATGCCTTCAAATATCGCAGATAGGATGGGTGTTCGAACAAAGATTCAAGATAAGCAAATGCATCAACAACTAAAAGGTGATTTGGTCGAAAATGTTTGGCGTAGATTTGGAAATGAATACAACAACTGATCTCGGATGTTTCTTGCAAACAATTATCGTTTATTTTAATAATCTTTGTTTTCATGTTTTTATTTATAAATCAATGTTTAATATGTAATCTCTTTTATTTAATAAAATTTTTAATTTAAAAAATAAATTTAATATTTTTTAATTTTTAAAAAACCCTAAATAAGAGACCTGCAATGGAGGTATACAAATCTTAGATTTCTTAATTAACTCTCTTAACTAACTTGAACCTTAAAGTACTATTAAAAAACTAATAAGAGACCCATAATGGGTCTCAGGGATGTTGATGCTCTAAGGGGGGACCAATGGGTGGAGCTCCGTTAGTGGCGGTTGGTGGCTTTGAAGCTGGGAAGACTCGATCAGTCATGTTCTTGTTTCTCTTCTGGTCAGATCTGAGCAGCACAGAGAGAAGATGGAGAGGAAAGGATGTAGAGAGAGACGACAATGAGTTTTGTCTGGAATCTTAATAGCTTTTAAATTTGAGTAATTTTTTAATTTAATTATATAATTTTAATTGTTTTTCGTTTTCAGTTTTTATTATTGTTGTGGATGTTCATGACTTCCATCCCAAGTCTGTGGAAATACTTAATTAATTTTCCCCAAAATGTAATATAAATTAATTTTCCAAGTTTTTTCAGGCTGATTTTCCTAGGTTTTACACTAAAGTTTGGGTATTTTTGTGGGGAAATAATGATTCACTAAATTTATATGATGAGTGACGGGTTGATCAGTAACTTATTAGTGTAATAAAAAGTCAAAAGTATGAAAATAATGGAAATAATAATCCACCGACAAAAAGTGGTAGGACTCTTGTTTTTCTTGTAAAAACGAGTGCACGCAATTGAGTAAGTTAGAATTTAAGTCAGTGCAGGTTTACAAGAAGAGAATTAAGTGAGTGCAGATACTGAAGTAATAAATAGATTAGTGATATAAAAGCTGATATAATTAGACTAATATCTTCTGTTCAGAGAGTAAATCCCAAGTAAACAACTGCTCTGATTTCAGTTATGTTAATCATTTATTTTCGTGCTTTCAATTTCCAAGATTATTAAACAACTTCATTAGCTCTGAGCCTTTTTTTACTGTGGTTAACAGATTAATACGACCAAATATTAATGTTTCTTTTCTATAGTGTCAACCAAAAAAAAAACTATTCCCTCCGTATACAAAAAGATTAATTTTTTAACTTTTTAATTTGTATACAAAAATAATGTTTTAACTTTTTAATTTGTATACAAAAGATTGATGTTTTAGTTGTAATTAATGTATTTTTCTTTAAAGTTAAAATATAAATTAACTGGTAAAACTTTATTGGGAAGCAAGGTAAAATTAACTAAAACTAATAAATCAAAGTATGTAATTAATTTTTATTAATATGTGTGTAAATCCTATAACATCAATCTGTTAACTGTGGAGGGAGTATGTAGTGGATTTCTGTAGTCATCTATTGCAATCACATAGACATCAATTACAAGGCTTTAAACAAAATAATATAATATGGGCCTTTAAGGTGAGCTTTTCTCTTAACTAACCTTGGGCTTTGACATTTTTACATATTGTACCATCGGTTCAACTATCACCGGTTATCTCAGCGGATATACAAACCGGATCCGACAGGAACTACCCACTCCCACTTCGAAGTTCGCACGTTGTAACATAACTCTCGGACAAAACCCTAATTTCAACGCCACTGTTCTGTCTCATCCCAAAAACGTTCACAATCTCTCCAGCCATGGCGACAGCTACTCATCATGTCCTCTCTCAACCTCCATCTCTCCGGAGAAACCTAAACCAATCTCCCCTCTCTAGAATCCCGGTTCTGTCTCTAAACTCCACCTTGAAGCCATTTCAACGCCTCTCCATCAAAGCAGCCGCTTCCTCAAACCCTGTCAAAACCGTGACGAAGGACTCAATCGATCAGTCTGCCTTCAACCACTGTTTCAAGAAACAATCAGATGGGTTTCTCTATTGCGAGGGGACTAAAGTTGAGGAGATCATGGAGAGTGTTGAGAGAAGACCTTTTTACTTGTACAGCAAACCTCAGATCACTAGAAACGTCGAGGCTTACAAAAAGGCCTTGGAAGGTGTGAGTTCCGTCATTGGCTATGCAATTAAGGCTAATAATAACCTCAAGATTTTGGAGCATTTGAGGAGTTTGGGTTGTGGTGCGGTCCTCGTTAGTGGGAATGAGCTTAGACTTGCGCTTCGTGCTGGTTTTGATCCCACAAAGTAATGTTTTTTTTGTTAAACCCTTTGGTGTGTTATCTGTTTAGGTTGACTCATACAATCAAAATGCTAATTTGGAGCGCTTAGAATTTGAGTTCAGTAGGTTGATGGAGTCAGAGTATGAGAAGATTGATATGCTTTGTTTGATTTTGTCTTGGTAACAATGTTCAATAAATAGCTAGGCCGTGGTTAGTCCACTTATAAAAGATTATTGTTTCGGTGGCGCCTAGACCAATTTCGGTTCTGTTAGATCCCAATGTGCTGACTAGGCGCCGCATAGACTGATTTTTAGAACACTGCTTGTTGACTATGTTCTTGGTTTATATAATGAATAGGTGTATCTTTAATGGAAACGGGAAGCTGTTGGAGGATTTAGTTATAGCTGCTGAAGCAGGTGTTTTCGTGAATGTGGATAGTGAGTTCGACTTGGATAATATTGTGGAGGCGTCAAGAATATCTGGTAAACAGGTCAATGTTCTGCTGCGTATCAATCCTGATGTTGATCCTCAGGTATAGTTATGTTCTAGTCTTTTTTATTAAACATAGTTCTACATAAGATTGGATTTGAGTGAGCTGTTACATTATGTCAGGTGCATCCATATGTAGCTACCGGGAACAAGAACTCGAAGTTTGGAATCAGGAACGAGAAGCTTCAGTGGTTTCTTGATGAGGTGAAGGCACATCCTAATGAGCTCAAGCTTGTTGGAGCTCATTGTCATCTAGGCTCTACCATAACAAAGGTAGCTGGCTTATAGTACTTTATGTAATACTTGTTCTTGCTTTAATATGTGCTTTGATGTAATCTGGTGAACATGGATTGCTCATTGTATGTTATGTTGATTCCAGGTGGATATATTCAGAGATGCTGCGGTTCTCATGGTGGAATACATTGATGAGATCCGGCGTCAAGGGTTTGAAGTAAGCTACTTGAACATTGGTGGTGGCTTAGGGATAGATTACTACCATGCCGGAGCCATCCTTCCTACACCCATGGATCTTATCAACACCGTAAGAACATCTCAAAACTCTTTCTTTCATTGGTAAAATCTTTACAATCCCTTGATGTGTTTCCAGGTAAGAGAGCTTGTTCTGTCACGAGGCCTGAATCTAATAATAGAGCCAGGGAGGTCGTTGATTGCAAACACCTGCTGTTTCGTTAACCATGTAACTGGTGTGAAGACTAATGGAACTAAAAACTTTATAGTAATCGATGGAAGTATGGCTGAGCTCATCCGTCCCAGTCTTTATGATGCCTATCAGGTATATATACAAATATGTTTGTTACAAATTGCTTTTGTCCTCTTGGAGTTATAGCTGAACATGTTCTTGTTTCTTATAACACAAAAGCACATTGAGTTGGTTTCTCCTCCAACACCTGAAGCAGAGGTTTCCAAGTTCGACGTAGTGGGTCCTGTTTGTGAATCTGCTGATTTCTTGGGGAAAGACAGAGAGCTTCCTACTCCTCCAAAGGTGAGAATAAGGATCTGCTTTTGTTTGAAAGCTCGAGTAGTGTGGATGTGGAATGTATATGAGTGAATTGTATTTGTCACAGGGAGCTGGTCTTGTGGTTCATGATGCTGGTGCATACTGTATGAGTATGGCTTCCACTTACAATCTCAAGATGCGTCCTCCGGAATACTGGGTAAAAACAATCTTATGATGTGAATTACAAACATGTAACTGTTTTCTGTTTGGGGGACGATTGATTGATGCGTTTGTGTTGTTTTTGCAGGTTGAAGATGATGGATCCATCACTAAGATCAGGCATGCTGAGACATTCGAAGACCATTTGCGTTTCTTTGAAGGTCTATGAACTCTGTGATTTCCTCTTGATCATTGTTTGTGGCAATTTTAGCTTTACTATATTCATTTTCAAAATCATTATTGTAATGCTATTGCTGTGATGGATTTTCATATTCCCTGTTGTATTGGAAGCTTTCACTAAGTTGATGAATAAGAAGAAAAAAAGACAGTTCAATACAAGACTGATTTTGTGGGGAGTTTTTGTAATGTTTGGTTCTTCTTTTTAGTCCAAAGTCAGTTCACTGTTCAGACACAAAAGACTTGAATAGTAAACTTTCTCAATGATTACGTAAGAAACGTTTGCATTCTTTATAGTTTATGTGTTTGGTAACAAATCTGTAGAACACATGCATGACATGAAACAACATACCTCTTTATTCAGGTAATCCAACTTATAGAAACAAATAAAATGAAAGTAAAGAGTAAAGGCCATCCTACATAGTATTAGGACTCAATAGTCAATAGTAACCACCTAAATTTCTGATACTAGATTTAGTCAAATAAAAGAATCTTGTACAGTTATACAAAAAAAAATGTAACACTTAGAAAGATATTCTTTATTTAAGAAAGTCATAATTAATACTCTAATAATTATATAACTGTACAAGTAAACCAGAAAGTTAATAGTACGATGGTTTCCTCTCATCAACCCGGCGATGGCGTCAGACGTCGTGATCATTTCCCGGCCAACTCCCCAAAAATGCATGGGTTTTGTTTGCCATTTGAAAAACTATCAAGCTACTGATAAAAATATTTAAAAGTATGAGGGCCTTTTTTGCAATTTTTCATCTCTTACGTAGACTATAGTCGACTCTCTCATTCTTTACCAGAAAAAAATACTTTTTTATTTGAGAGAGAGAGAGAAGAGAGACGAAATCGTTTTGATCGGAGGTACTTTCTTCTCCGATTAGTTTCACTTCCTCTAGGGTTTCTCCGTTCCCTCTTCTTAACTCTCAACTCTCAGCTCGAATTTTTCTCAGATAGAATCTGAATGTGAGAAGCTTCGTTGCTGAGAATTTTGTGGAGAAAGCAGAAAAAAAGAGAGATTTTAATCGTCTTTTTGCAGTCAAAGCTTCGTTTTTTTTTTTTCAGACAGAAACTAAACTTGTCTTTTGTATCTTTTATTACCTTTTGCTGTTTCTGTAAGAAAAAAACCCTATAAAATTCCTGAACTTCGATTTCGTGGGTTTTTGGTTTCCGGTTCGGTTTTGTGGGATATAGAATATTGATTTCTGTCACTTTCCACGAGCGGGAAGATTTCGAATTTGCCTCTTTTGGGCTCCAAAGTTTTAAATCTTTGGGTGCTTGCTTATTCATCTAGGGCTTGCTCTTCTTTTCTAACACACGAGATCTGTTTGGTTTTCTCCAGATTATCCTTGTGTTCGAGCTAGCTTCTCCAATTTGACGGAGATATCGTCTCGTTTCGTGGGTGAAAGAGAGTTCCTTTACAAGGTTAGAGCTATACCACAATCCCTCTCTGTGAAAGTTTGGATCTTTATAACTCTAATTGTAGATTGTGTAGTTACTGAGCATTGTGTGTTGAGTGTGAATGTGAAAGTTTGGATTTTTAGAACTCCAATTGTAGATTGTCTAGTTCATGAGCATTGTCTGTTGAGTAAGCATCTGAAACTATGTCAATTGATGTAATTGCATTTGGTTCTGAGTCTTATTGAGTCAGTGTGAGAGAGTTTCCAGACATATACACTTAAAAGTTGATGTTTATAAGTTGTTGTAATGGATTTTTAGAACTCCAATTGTAGATTGTCTAGTTCATGAGCATTGTGTGTTGAGTATGAATCTGAAATTTTGTTACTTGGAGTAACTGAACTTGTCTTGTCTGTGAGTCTTGTTGAGTCATTGTGATAGAGTTTAGACACTTATACAGTTACAAGTTGATGTTTAATAGGTTGTTGTAATGGAAGACGCTGATGGCTCTGCTTCTTCTTCATCTTCTCGAGATTTGGATGCACAAAGCCCTTATGATCGATTGCTTGCTCTAGATACAACTTCCTCAGATTCAAATCGTAACTTGGATTCGGTTTCTGCCATTTATCTAGCGATGACGACGAGCTCGAAGCTGGAGTGTGTCGATGAGCGTAGCCAAGATTCCCTTATTACCTCCGTATGCAACATGGAGGATGAAGAAGAGGATGAGGAGCTCGATGAGTTTGATCCTTATCTCTTTATCAAAAACCTACCCAACTTGTCCTCTGTTGTCCCTACTTTCAGACCCGTCTTGCTTCCTAAACAGACCCGAAGCTGCCCTCCTATCTCCCTAGTTCTAGACCTCGACGGTAACACACTACTTAACAACCACTTGATGCTCCATATTGTACAGTGTTAATTAACATATATCTTTTTGTTTTGCAACAGAAACTCTTGTCCACTCTACTCTAGAACCGTGTGATGAGGTGGATTTCACATTCCCTGTACATTTCAATGAAGAAGAGCATATGGTGTATGTGCGGTGCCGTCCTCACCTCAAAGAGTTTATGGAGAGAGTGTCACGTCTTTTTGAGATCATTATATTTACAGCTAGCCAGAGTATCTACGCCGAGCAGCTTCTGAATGTGCTTGACCCTAAGAGGAAGCTCTTTCGCCATAGAGTGTACCGTGACTCTTGTGTTTTCTTTGACGGTAACTACCTTAAGGACTTGTCTGTACTTGGACGTGACTTATCTCGTGTTATCATCGTCGACAACTCCCCACAGGTATGGAGAAAGAATCCTCTGTATCAAGGCTGTTACATACTCTCATTAGTATATGTATATATATATATATGTATGATGAATCTTCTCTGTGGTTACAGGCATTTGGGTTCCAAGTGGAGAACGGTGTGCCGATAGAGAGCTGGTTTAACGACCCGTCAGATAAAGAACTCCTTAACTTGCTGCCGTTTCTTGAAAGCTTAATAGGAGCAGAAGATGTGAGGCCAATGATAGCCAAGAAGTTCAATCTAAAGGAAAAGATAGATGCAGCTGTAGCTTCACCTGAGTATCCTGCTGAGGCTGGTGATCCTTTCGAAAGGTAAAGTCTGTTCAAAAGCAATTAAGGCAGAGTCTGGCACAAGACACAAAGGAGAAGACTTGCTCTTTGGGAGAATGCGATGGGAAGTTTCTCTTCTTCCTCTTTTGAGGTGTTGGAGGGGTTAGAGCTGGAAGATATATATTATATATATCAAATGTTGTTTTCTTATTAGTTTAAAGAACCTTGAGTATACAGAGAACGTCACAGAATAACTATTATAAATTTTATTTTTTGTATTTTTGAATAATTGTGGTTTCTAGTAAAATAGTCAAAAGCTATTCTTACCAAAGTGGAGAAGGTTACTTGTGATTGTGAAGAAAAGAAGAGTGCGCATGTTAGTTGAATCTATTTACTTAACGCACGTGTCGGTGCACGTTAAGCTGAGATATACCCGAATTATTATTTTTAATTAAAAAAAAAGAAAAATAGCGGAAAAATACTAGAGAGATAAACTGGAGATTTTTAGAGAGAAAGAGAACAGTTCGTCGTTGACGATCGATGCCGAAGATGAAGCATCTTCTCCGGAAACTCCACATCGGAGGAGGAAGTAGTAACGTATTCGGAGACCATCACAGGCTCGACGATTCAACTAGACCGATTCTCGATCCTATTCGTAGCTCTAGCCCTAGCCCAGCTTCGTCCGTCTCTTCTTCCGGTAACGCCGCCGCGACGACAATGCCGAGACTAGAAACGTTTGAGCCTGCTGCGGATGGTGTCGATTTCAATTTGATGGAGGAGGAGTATCAAGTTCAGTTAGCTATGGCGATCAGCGTCTCTGATCCTGATCCGAGAGAGAATGCAGATACAGCTCAGCTTGATGCTGCTAAACGGATTAGCCTTGGCGTTAAGGCTCCGGTCAACAACGTTGACTCGGGCGTTGACTTTTTGTCGCTCCGTTATTGGGTAGATACTATATGCGTTGACTAATTGTTGGATTAATTTGACTAGAGAGTGTACGGTTTAGAGAATTTAGAGATTTGCTGGAATTTAGGGTTTAGAGAAATTAGACCATCATTAACCCCAGTCTAACTGGGATTCTTAGCTTCGGATAATAGATATAAGAGCCTTATCTTAGCCGAAAAGTGTAAAAAAAAATAAAAAAAATATCAAATCATGAATTAAAAACCCTGGTTAATAGACCGGGATTTTGAAAAAAAAAAAAAAGAGACCGGGATTAATCATACCCTTAGGATTTTACTGTAGTTGATTACTGTTACTGCTTGGACCTAAGCTGGTGTTTAACCTTTCTTGTTTTTGTAGTGACATAAGGTTATTAATTATGACCAGAAAGTTAAGGATGGTTTTTACGATGTGTATGGGGTTACATCCAATTCGCTTTCACAAGGGAAGATGCCACTTCTCGTGGATCTTCAAGAGATTTCTGTTTCAGACCATGTTGATTATGAGGTCATTTTGGTGAACCGGTTGATTGATCCTGAACTGCAAGAGCTAGAGAGGAGAGCATCCGCTTTGTCTTTGGAATGTCCAGAATTTTCTTGTGGTCAGGTGTCAAGTGATTTGACTCAGAAGATTGCAGATATGGTTGTGGAGCAGATGGGTGGCCCGGTTGAGAATGCGGATGTAGCATTGAGAAGGTGGATGCATAAAAGCTATGAACTAAGGAATTCTTTGAATACTACTGTTATTCCACTTGGACGAGTTAGATTTGGTCTTGCACGTCACAGGGCTTTGCTTTTCAAGGTCATGACAATACGTTTTTAGATCTCTTGGTTATTTTACTTTGACGGCCTTTTAGTGGCAACACTCGTTATTTTTTTCTGTTACTGAGTTCCCTTTTTGGTCACTGCTATAAGATACAGGGTGAAGCTAAATTGTTCTCTTTTCTTGTTTCTAGGTGCTTGCTGATAAGATTGATCTCCCGTGTATGCTGGTAAAAGGCAGCTATTACACTGGAACTGATGATGGGGCCGTGAACTTGATTAAAATAGACGACAAAAGGTATTCAATGACTGATGTAGTCAGCTGCCTTATGTTCTCATTCTAGATTCCTGATATTGGGCTCAGTTTTTATGTGATGGTAGTGATTTTTTGCAATCCTAATTCATTGTTCACATTGCAGTGAATACATTATTGATTTAATGGGTGCTCCGGGGGCTCTGATCCCTTCGGAGGTTCCAAGTAGTTTTCTTCCAGTTTCTTGCACTGATACGAGAGTATTTCCTGATGATCTGGACACGTTGCAACATTCTTGCCCTGTACCTGATAAAGAAATTGAACCGCCGGCATTTTCAGTTTTGGGGGAAACAGATTCCAGATCTTCTGGCATTGTGGCAAACCTGTTCTCTGGAAACCATGAAGAAAACAGAGAAAGATGTGCAGCCGTTGAAAAACATCAAACGGAGAGGTTTGAGCATGACTTTGGAAAGCTAATGCAATCACAACAGATATCTGGTGAAAACTTGCCGCCGTTTTCTGTGAAACCAACATGTGCACAGAAAGTAAAAGTCAAGAATGTCTCAAAGTATGTCATAAGTGCAGCAAAGAACCCTGAATTTGCGCAGAAATTACATGCGGTCTTGTTAGAAAGTGGTGCATCACCTCCCCCAGATTTGTTTATGGATGTCAATCCACAAAACTTGAGGGAGAAGAGTTTGCTTCAGGAATTCTGGCAAGAAAGTAGCAATTCTATGAATTCTGCTTTTCCACGTAACCCAGAGAAGGTAATCTTAGGAGACACTTCCTTTTACTATTTAAGCACAAGTTTCTTTTAATTCTTTCCCTCCTGCACACTTGTTCTATCTTAAAAATCTAAAGTCCTTATTTATTTCAATCCGTACTGAATAGGTCGGAGACCAGTTAGCTGAAAAAGTGAGAGATTCTGAAAGGAACCCCACAGCACTGCAATTGTCAGCTGTTTGTACTTCAGGTAAGAGATAACTAGCTACTTGATGTCTGCAGTATAATATTATCTTCGTGTTACTGTTAGTGCCGTTAAGCAACTTTACAATGACACAAACTGGCAAATCTCTGACTTCCAACAGCTGAGACTTACCAATAATCACGGGATGTCGATTTTTCAGTGATGAAAAACTTTGATGTGGATAAGGAAACGATGGAGATCGACACTGCTGATGGGGAGCCTTCTGTTTGTGATAGTCATGACCAAGGAATTAATCCATTTCTCGGCGAGGCTGCAAAATGGGAAATTATGTGGGAAGATCTTCAGATCGGCGAGCGGATTGGTATTGGTAAGGTTTGGTCTATCAAACAGTAGATAGCAAACTTATAGTTGTATCCATGAGAAACGTTTGATAAAGCTTGGTACTTACGAATTGTCATCTAGCCTTATGCTTGTTGCTAAAATCTAAACACCAACGATTTTCAGTTTGATAGACCAAACTAGCCCTTAGTATCCCGGATTACAAGATCTGATGTTCTCTTTCTCGGTGTTGTTTCTATTGCAGGTTCATATGGAGAAGTTTACCGTGCAGATTGGAATGGAACTGTGAGTTATGTTTCGGAGTCTTAAGCCACTGATTCTGCCAGTTACTCTGCGCTTTCTAAAACCCATTTGCTTCCAGTTAAGGGGATTGCTATCTTGTACATGAATTTCTTGGGCTGATTGTGTTTCTTATTTCAGGAAGTGGCTGTTAAGAAGTTTCTGGACCAAGATTTCTCTGGTGATGCATTGACACAGTTCAGATCTGAAGTAACTCCAGATCATTTAATCATTGACATCTCTGTTTCTGTAGAGCTACTTGCAATCATTTAATCATAGTATGTTTATTTTGTTCGGATAGATTGAAATAATGTTGAGGTTGCGGCATCCAAACGTTGTTCTTTTCATGGGAGCAGTTACACGGCCGCCAAATTTTTCCATTCTGACAGAGTATCTACCCAGGTTAATTCTCATGGTCTTCTTTTACAATTCGTGAATGGATCACTTGGTCTGCCAGTTGATTTCTAATCCTCTTTAATTCAATAAGTAATCCTTTGCTACCATGATGTTCTCTCTTATTAATAGTTTTAATATTCTTCTTCTCGACTTAATGGGCTAGACTTTCATGATACTATGCAGGGGGAGTTTGTATAGATTACTCCACCGACCAAATCATCAGCTTGATGAGAAGAGACGAATGCGGATGGCACTTGATGTGGTAAGCATGAGTTTCATTGTTTGAGCAGAAGCCTCTAGACGTTACTGCTATATTGCCACAATTCACCTGACACTTGCTCTCTATCTGATTGTATTGCAGGCGAAGGGGATGAACTACTTGCATACCAGCCACCCAACTGTAGTACATAGGGATTTGAAATCGCCAAACCTTCTTGTTGATAAAAATTGGGTCGTAAAGGTTTGTGATTTTGGATTGTCACGCATGCAACATCACACGTATTTGTCCTCAAAATCAACTGCAGGAACGGTCAGTTACAACTCAAATAGAACCATTCCTTATTTCTCTGAGTCGTGACCGCAAAGTTATTCATAGCAACTTACTTGATAAAATGTCCTGTTGATGGCTGTGCAGCCCGAGTGGATGGCTCCAGAAGTGTTGAGGAATGAACCAGCTAATGAGAAGTGAGTGAAATTCTAAAGCTATGAGAATCTTATACATGTTAGTACATAATGAGTGTGTGCTTGCGCAGATGTGACGTGTACAGCTTTGGTGTGATATTGTGGGAACTAGCCACTTCACGCATTCCCTGGAAAGGTTTAAACCCGATGCAAGTCGTTGGAGCGGTAGGATTCCAAAATCGTCGCCTTGAAATCACAGATGATATTGATCCAACCGTTGCACAGATAATCCGTGATTGTTGGCAAACGTAAGTTCATTTCCTCACACTCTAAACCCAATAAGTATCCGTATGATTGTATGAATCAATGTTCGGAAGATAGCTCCAAACCTTATGTTCAGCAAGGTTGAGTGCTAAAAGAAATTACCATAGGAATGGGTCTGTGTTTAGGTTTAATTGGAAATCACCATTTGTTAGCACGCATTTGGGTGGAGTAAGCTAAGGTGTGAGATTATATTATTTATTTTTGTGTGAAGGGAACCGCATTTACGGCCATCGTTTACGCAACTGATGCGAAGTCTGAAGCGGCTACAGGGTCTAAACATAAGCAAGAGAGGAAACACAAGTGAAAGTCTCATGTAAAGATATTTTAGACAGAAGCTGGTTACATCACCTGCTCTGGTTCAAAGAGCCAAATGGGTGGAGGATTGCCATTTTTTCTTTTGCGTTGCTGCTTTTACGGTCAGAAAATTGTGGAGTTAGGGAAAAAAGCTTGTGGAGTTCAATCGAAGTGGGAGCTCAACAACAACAACAAAAAATCCCTACTACTATTCTTATTGTTGCTACTTGTAACAACAAAATTAGGAGAATGAATAGAAAAAGCAAATAAGATGAAAAGAATACAAATAAGCCTACGGTGTTCTTTTATCTTCTATGGTTTGTGATATTCCCCCAAAATCTGGTAAATGTAAGAAACATCATGTGGGGGAATTGTTGTATGAGCTTTTACATAAGCTCCTGCTAACACTTGTAAAAGTTACAATGAAAGATGAAAAAGATAACACGACCGACCTCAGAGAAACGTTTGATCTGTTTATGTTTATGTAACTCTTCTTAATCTCACACTTCTAAATTATTTGGACACATTTTTATAATCTTTCTTTGGTAAAAGAGAAGTTGAATTCTGAAAAATGAATATAATATGGTGAGAAAACACTTGAAATTGGAAAAATAGATCTTTTAAAACGAAAAAAGAAAAAAGCTGCGATGGCTGCTGCGACGGTGCTCCGCCATTTCACACCAATCTCACCCTCCCTTAAACCACCGTCTCACCACCGCCGATTCCTCCACCACAACATAATCCCCAAACTACCCCCACCCTCTTCCCCTTCTCTTCTCAAATTCAGCTCCGAGCCCCAACCTCCACCACCTCTACCAGAAGCCGATTGTCCCGTCCCGCCTGAACAGCAACCAATCAACGAGTACCAATCTCTCTCCTCCTCTTTCCCTTTCTCCTGGGCCTCAGGAGATTTAGTCGAATACTCCTCAAGACTCTTCATCACCGGAGCTTCTTTTGCCTTTTTCGTCGGGTTACCCGTTTCTTGGTTCGGATCCGTCGGACCCGAATACGAACCCGTTAAACGGATACTCGCCGCTAGCTCTAGCGGGATCTTCGTTGTTACGCTTGCTGTCGTGAGGATGTATCTTGGTTGGGCTTATGTCGGAAACCGTCTCCTCAGTGCCACCGTTGAGTGTATGTTTTACTTTTAACTCAAGTAACTGTTTGGTCTGATAATTAGTGACACAACATGTGATTATGTCTGAAAAATATTAAAAGAAAGGCCTCTTCTTGCATATATATATTGAAGCTCAAGAACTAGTTTATTATTTTATTTTCTTCATTGTTTGTCTTGTAATGAATCTGATAATTAGTGACACAACATGTGTTTATGTCTGAAAAATATTAAAAGGCTTCTTCTTGCATATCTAATGAAGCTCAAGAACTAGTTTTTTTTTAATTTTCTTCATTGTTTGTCTTGTAATGAATCTGATTTTTATTTTTTCGAATGAAATGAATGAATCTGAGTTTAATGTCGCAGATGAAGAAACTGGGTGGTATGATGGTCAGGTTAAGATCCACTCTCTTTCTATGTATATTGGTTTTTTTTTTGTATATTGGTTTTTTTTTTGTATATTGGTTAAGCTTTCTGTAGAAGAAGAAAAAATTATTTATGCTTATTATAATTAATACTGTTTATTAGTTAAGCTTTGTGTAGAAGAAGAGACATTATGTGTGTTGGTTTATACAGGTATGGGTGAAAACACCTCAAGTCTTGGCACGAGACCGTCTTCTTGGTTCTTTCTCGGTAAACCTAAGCTATGATCATACAAAATCTGTTTCATGTTGTGTATGAGATATGTTCAATGTCTTTTTTTTTTATGTTTGTGTGGTTTGGTGTCTCAGGTGAAACCAGTTCTTACCAGACTGAAAAACACATTAGTTATTCTCGGTTTATCACTCATTCTTGTAGTGAACCTTGGTAACTCTCCAATTGCGTCATCTTATAAAACGTATAAGGATCCTAGGGATAGATCTTCGATGCCAATCCCAGGAGTGTACAATGATGAAACCGCTAGAACTTTTGAACCAATAGCTTTCTGTGGAGAACCTTCTTCAGATGAACCACCTTCTGAAGATCTTCTGTGAAAATACAAATACAGATAGTTTCTTTCTGATAGTATTGTGTATATTCTTGTATATTCCATAATGACCAATCTGCATCATGAAACCCTAAAGATCAAAACTCATTACTAGGTTTTTGAATCGAAGACTATTGTTAGCAAATGCATTTTGGTGCTTCTGGAATTAGTCAATCTAATAACTAGCAAATTGACTGGAATATCTGAGTCAAACATAACAAGATTAGTATTAATGACAAACAATCATTTTATCTTATTATTACCACAGTTTCTATTATTGTCAAACCGTGTCAATAAAACCTAGTTTCTTTTCTCTATTTTCTTTTACATCTAACACCTGAGACGAGAGAAGAGAGATATAAACAAGAAACGGCTTGAAAAAAGAAAATGAAAACCCTAATAATATGGTGCCTTGTCTCTCAAGCAATCATCCTAACGTGCAACTCAGGTGGCTCAGGAGGAGACGTTGAGTTTTCAATACTCATAAAAAACGAAATGCACAACTTCAAAAAGCCAGCGGTTTTCTACCACTGCACATCCTCAGAGAAAGACATGAAATGGCACAGATCGGTTCCATCGACAGAGTTTCATTGGAACTTCAAAGTTCCAAAGTTTGGTAACGGCGTGATGATCCACAACTGTGAGTTCAGGTCGAGGTTAGGAACAGCAAATATAGAGATCAAGACGTTGTCTACTACAGCGATTCTATGCGCCGGGAATACATGCAAATACGTTGTTAGACGTAACGGAATTTATTTCATTGGTTACGAATTGTATTATCCGTTTGGAATGTTTTTAGAATTGTCGAGGCCTGTGGTGAAGCTAGTCGAGCCGTGGACGCCTTGGTCGCCGCAACAACTTAAAGCTTTGCACCGTACTAAGCAGTTTCATCAATGATCATACATACAAAGAGTGACTTTACATCAGTGCACCGGTAAAAAGACACATCCTAGTAGATAAGAAAGTTGTTTAAATGAAAAAAAAAAAATCTAAAAGATTGTAAAATTATTTATCCAGATAATCAATATACAAACTCTAGAACATGTTCTTCTAAGTTTTCTTATTTTTTTGGTGTTTAATTCGCATTATCACAACTGTATATGAAACCAGATAACAAGATGCAGAGTTTAGAAAGAAACATGTTTTGTTTCTTTCCTTCTATGTAAACTTGGCAACTCTGAGATCAATACACAAGAGCATGTTGTTATTCATTTGGTTTTTTGCTTAAGCTCCATATTTTGGAGCCTTCCAAAGTTTGAAAGCAACTTCATGAATGAATCGATCAGTTGGTATAACAAGATTTCCAGAGAGCTACAATTGAAGAAAAAGAGAAACAAAAAAACTCTTGAGATCAAGCTATGCACACTATGTTACAGAGGAGCTTGTATTATGTTTAAGTCATATACCTTTTTGAGAGTTTTAAATGATAATGTATCAACTAAGTCTCTCCGAGTCACCGCATCTTGCCATTGAGCTACTAACATAGGACAGTAGTCCCTGTAGGTTGAACCAAACTCGTCATGAACAAAAACAGTAACTAAGTTCAGAAACGTTGTATTTAAATTCTTACCGAATATCATCTCGTGGCTTTTCACCTCGCATGGTATAGCTCTGACGCGGGACAAGTCCTGCAAACGCGTGGTTAATACCTTCTTGTGGAGTCTTGACAGGAAAAACTGAAGCATCTTTGTCTGTGACAGAACCATAGCTGAGAACAACGGATAGATGTAAGCGAGAAGCAATCACTGAACCTGGCTGAGCCATTTTCATGATACTACCAACCAAAGACTCGATCATTCCCACGTTATCAACACCTATATGCACAAAAACCAAGTCGTATAATAGGCTCACATCTAAACACTTTCCTCCTTCAAATCCAAGCAGACTTAATAGTTCAGTTGATGTGGCGTCTGAAGGAAAGGAATCACTCTTTTGGCATATTTCACTGAGTTGTAACACATCTAAGCCAATAAGCTTTCCGAAAGAAGTCAGAGAAGAACTGTCAGTTACTAAAGCAGCCTTGAGTCCCATAAACCTGCATCACAATAGAAATTAAAGTAAAAACATAGCATCTACTATGGAGATGAAAGAAAAGGTCACAAAACCTTTGAGACAAAGTTGAGATTTCATGTTCACTTCCCTTGGATTTTAATCCACTCTGTTACAGAAAAACAAAAAAAAATCATGATACTCTAGTGTCTCATGAATAGAAGTATGTAACACACATGTATCAGTAATTCACACTCGTATTGTTGATTATAACCGTCTTTAAAAACAACCTAACTTAAGTTTGGATAAAGAAGGTTACTATTAATCAAAAAGTGAAGTGTCTAATCTCACAGCTATGGTATAAGCTTCTGATGCATCCAGCAAATGGGAGAATTCTCGAACTATCCTCTCGTGCTCAGTTTCTGCAACAATTGAATAATACACCATCATATAGTAAATATCCATTTGCAGAATAGCAAAAGCGCAGGCAATGTAACACAAGCGTGATTTGTCTCTAATCCAACAAACCTCAAGTGACGCACAAAATAAAACGGTACACAGGTCTGACCCGGTTCAATTATAATCAACACTAGTCCCAATCAAATTGAAAAAAATGCTAAAGTATAGAGATTATGACCAAAAAATCATATGCTCAACCAAACCATGGACTCTGATACCATATTAACGATAGAACTCACACCCAAAAAAAGCTAGCTACCATACACATATATATTGCACTTGGATCACACACATGATCCATGTGGGACTCTAATAGAAACTATTCGGCGAATCAACGAAAGTGAGAGAGAGACGGAGAGAGACCTGGAGGCGCATGAGGGAGGCTCAAGAAGCTGCAGCTAGCGACGGAAGCGAGTGAATGGATGTGTGTATTTGACGAGTCGACGAATCGAGCCAAGCCATCTCCGTACAGAACAAGTGCTCTGCTTGCTTTGTCCGCCATTATTCTCAAAAAAGCTCGAGGAGAGGGATCGGATTGTGAGAGATAGTGAGGAATAATAAAAGATGATGATCTCCCGACAAAGGTGGTAATACTTATTTTAGGTTTTGAAAGAATAAAATTCTGGTAACAACAAAATTAAATTCAAATATAATGGAGGAATCTCCATTAAATAATTTATTCAACTGAATTTACAGACAGATCAAGAACCATGCTACCACAAAAATGCTCAAAACATAAGTATCCATGTCTATATCTACAGCTATAATCATAACACAAAGAGCATCTCAAACTCCAAACCAATGTCCACTTTTTATGTAATGTATATATAATTTTCTGTAGCACAAGAGGAGACAGAATGTCATAGAGCGAGTCTTGTCTTAATAGGCTTGAGCTTCAACCCCATGTTTTCCGGAGACAGAAGCTCAGGAGAGATTCTTGTTGGGCTCAATGGACTTCTTGGGCTTACGCTCTGTGTTGGACGATACAATCCATACCCCATCAAAAAGTATTCCATTGGTATTACCATTGCCTGTGGCTGTTCCTCTGTCACCAATGACCCACTTCCTTGTACCTCGACTAATGCACCGTACCGTCTGTCTAGTTTTGTAGTCATGTGAACGGCTTCTGAGTGGTAAGCAGAGTTTTCGCCAATGAAGATTAAAGTTCTGCATTGTAGTTTCCTTAACCCTTCGCTTAGATCCACTCTCCTGTATTCACACCACACCAAACCAATATATATATAAGATACTATTCTATCCGTTTCAATCTAATTATTGTTGTAAAGTGAAATTGGGGTTTCAGAATAAATATTGTTTTATGATTTCAAGGCAATTTTATTAGTTTTATATTTTATTTTAGTGAAACCAAAATATTGTTCTATGATTTCAAGGCAATTTTAATAGTTTTATATGTTATTTTTTTTTTTATTGGTTGAATATAGTTAGATTTATAAATAATGATGTTTTTATTTAATATTTTTTTAATCTGTATGCATAAACCTAGAACGACAACTAAAATGAAACGGGTGGAGTATGTTTTTTCAGTTTGGTAATGAGAAAGAGATGACTCAAAGAGCAATATGTTTTACCCGTTGATTGCTTCAAGGAATCTCCATACATTTGTACTCTGCCGCTCGCAAAGTAACTGTGATAGTGGAGAACACAATATATTAATTTTACTTCCAAAAATGTCAAAGCATCAGTGAATTGCAAAGAAAAGAGAAGAAATAAATTTACTAACTCTTCTGCATTCTTGAACAATATCTGATTCTGGAACTTGAGCACTACCACGAACTTCCTATAAATAACATATGTCTGAGGCATTATAGAAATGCAAATCACTATTTATATAAAAAAATTATAATACATGAGAAGTGAGATTATACCTTACTGAAGTACCGTTTTAGTAACAGTTCTTTAACAACACCGCACATGCCATAATAGTAAAGTAAATTAGACATTACCTGCATAAAAATTATGGAAATGTCTGATATGAGAATTAGATAATTAAGGTCATAACCACAAGATGAAGATATCATTGTGAAAAGAAATTACCTTATTGCATAACCATTCAGACCAAGAAGGGGCTTGGCACAGTGGAGAGACGAGTATTAATCCCAGAACTCTCTGCCTGTACTTCATCTGAAATAATTAAAGTTCAAGGAAAATTAAAAAAAAATATATATCAAACAGAATCATATGCTTAAGAGAGGTACTGTTACTGTTGAATCATCACAAGTACTTACAGCAAATAAGGTCAGAATGTAAGCTCCTGCTGTGACACCCATACACATCACTGCACCAAGTCTGGATAAGAGCCAATAAGCAATAAAGTAAAAGGAAATTAGAAAAAATAAAATAGGCAGCTTAATAAATTAAACACGCACAAATAAAACTTATGTGAATTTCTACCCGAAATAGTTAAGAATCTCGACGATTTGGTCTGCTAAGTCATCAGCTGAGAGCAAAGGAGCATTAACACCGATCACTGGAGCTCCCAACTGCAATGACTCTTGAAGAAAGCGTTGTAATAAGGGATATGAATTGCATTACTAAAAGATTTTGTAAGAATATGAAACATGAGTTACCAACCTCATGGCCAATAGGACTGATGTGGTATATGCAAAAGTTGTGGAGTAACAAGGAACTAGCTTCTGGACAAAACAATAATCCTTGAAAAGAAAACATATCTGCAAGCAAACAAGACAAACATAAAACATATTACAAAACAAGCCCCAATTCAAAAGTTTCAATTACTGAACTACTAAAGTGATGGATTATTTGGCTTACAATTAAGAGCGACATCAGGATATGTGATAAGAGCAGGTTTATCAGGATCTCCACAAACGGCAACACATACCGGGCCATATGTAGTCTCCACTAGGTGTTCCTGTGAAAGTAGAATTTAATTCAGTGAACTATTACTCTATGCAATAAATGAATATGCATAGATTAGGACCACACACACTTATAACGTTCATTCCCCTTGTGATATTATTTACTTGATTAGGAAAAAACAAATAATTTAAAAAAGAGTGTACCAACTCTTCCCATTAAAACAGTATAATCATTACCAGCAAATACGAATTCGTCAAACAAAATGGATCATACAAAAATTTACCATAATTTATGATGAATTAAAAAAAAAATCCTTAGAAAATTTAGAACCAAGAAGAGTTGTATACATGGATTGGTAGATCAAAATATTCACGTTCCAGATAAATTGAGACATGCATTGGAGAAGACATGAAAAGACCAAACCTAAAGTAGAATCAACGAACCAGATGATCAGACAACACCATTTCGATATATTACCGACACAACAAAACCATCATTCCAGTTTCAGCTCCAAATAATAACGAAACATTTTCCCCAGCCATTGTTTTATCACAAAATGATTCCAGAAGAAAATTGCTAAAACCTATTATCATAATCAAAAAACTCCAATAGGGGACAATAATAGTAATAATAAAATCCACATAAATAATGGATAAATAATAACTTTAATAAAGCAACTCAAAAGAATGCAGAAAGCAAAAAAAAAAAATCAAAAAAATCAATAAACTACCATTTCTCCTATCTTGTTCTTCCCGTAAGGTAAACCAAACAGAATCTTGAAAAGCTCTTAACAGAAGACAAAAGCTCGTAAGATAATTTACCTGTCCTCCAAGAGACATTGCCTCCATATCAATGGAGACAGAACCGCTTGAATCCCCCATCTCTCTCTCTCTATCTCCTCTGTATATTCTCAAAAATAAGCTGAGTTTTATCTATCTTTTCATGACCTTCTCTCTTCTCTTCTCTCTCACAAAAACGATGGCTATCTTCGTTTTCTTCTGTTTATAAATAGAAGACTTGTGACTTAAAATATAAAAAAAAAATTAACAGAAAACTCGTTACGCGACTCGTACTGAGTCACCGACGGTCGACTCGGGTTTAATGTAGGACGGACCTGCATAATAAAAATATAAAAATCACAGGGGACTAACTACATACCATGATCAACTTAACCTTGGTTAAGGGACCGACAGTTTCTTATTCTTCTTCCATATTTTACATTTTCACTCCCTATATTTTCTTAATCATTCAAATAGATGCCAACTTCTTTCTAATGTACTCTATTAACCCAAAACGTGTCGGCGACTTCTTTTTCTACTGTTTTTACTTTCTTTTATATTTTCTTTAATGGACATGTATGTGTACTTTATTTATATTTTCATCAGAAAATTAAATAGAAATTTATGAAAATGAAGGAGGAGGTTAAAAGAAGAGTGTAAAAAACTTTCTCTTCGAGAGGAGGGACGATAGTGATACATATAAGAGTAAAGGGGTCAAAATAAAAGAAACGTGGTTTTAGATAAAAAGTCCGCGTACTGTTGACTTTGTGAGTAAATTGGTTTTAGGCGGGACACGGTGTATCCAGGAGACAGGATGATGAATTCTCAGCCGTCAGATTTTAACTTATTTTTGTCGTCTTTCCTTTTTATGTTGAGTCTTCTTTCTCCGTGTTGTTAAATATGAACACCGTGTGGTTTGCTATGGCAAAAAACGGGGCCCATTGCGTTGGAGAGTGAGAACACACATGTCGTTTTCTTGTCGAGTTGGTATGTGTCATTTGCACCCAACAAGAGCGTAAAACCATAAGTCCCTTTTGCTTAATTATAAATCTGGCCAAAACTTTGAAATTTCCTTTTTCTAATAGTTTCTTTTTTCTTTTGTCAAGATTATAATTTTGATTTTTTTCAGATTTTTCGAATTTCCTTTCTTATAATTCATTTTTTCGTTCTGAGCATCATAATTAAGTTGACCGTGACATAAAAATAGAAACAAAAAAAGACATTTATATCAGTTTTTAATGATCGGGAAAATATTTAAAAGCTAAAATTTATGGGGATTACAGCTTTTAAACATGTAAAAACCTGGTGAATAGTTTAAAGAATGGAAGAATCCGTATCTCTTAAACCAGCTTCATCTGATTGATTGATTTATTTACTTTTTCGGAATCGTAGGATATAATTTGACTAATTGATATAGCAAGCACACAATCTTTATTACGGAGTAATAAATACTCATTTATTTTAATCGTGCTAATTAAAGTTCATTGATTTATCAAACGTGTATTGACTTGAATGGTGGTAATGACAAACTCGATGGAAGGAAGATTCTCAATCACATTGCGTTGTGCTTATGAAATTTTTATATTCTATTCTTATTTTCAAATTATATGATTGATTGCAACGCAACAACTTAAGTCACATTTAAAAGTTTGTTCAATTTAATATCTAGAGATCAAAAGGGTGACGAATTCAAAATGAAAAGCTCATTAGTCACCGAATGAATGTACCTATATTTTATTTTCTGAGTAATAATTACATATTAGTGCCATTGCATTCTTAGAGTCTTATCGCCAGCTTTTGTTTTCATATATTTTTTTTTATATCTTATGCTTTCCATGGAAATATTTTAATGATTAAACCACCAACCATGTTTCTTAATCTTTACATTTAGGATACCATTTTAATATGTATGTTCCTATCGATCAGATGATGTAATGATCACCTATAAGACTTGGAAATCATGTATTTTAGTGTATGTTCATTTTTCTTCTTTCTATAGTACATGCTCAGTTTCTATTATAACATATTGTTATTTGATTAACAATTTCACATTCTCAACTGACAGATGGAGTTGTGGAAATAATGATTTATTTATAACAAATTAAGGAATATAGTATAAAAGTCGGTTATTTTTTATGGGTCTTTTGATTTCGATCTATCGGTCACACTACTATCTACAACAAAAAAAATGTTTAGTTTTAATTTTCTTCTAAAATGCCAGGCAGTTTCCTTACATATGATTGAATTGTTGTTATCAGCTTTAAATTTTAAAAGAGGGGAGACTTTCAATTTCATTTAAGAACCATGCAGTGGTTGTTTGATGAATTAAGTGACCAACAGTAACTGTTGCCCTAATTTCTGATTAATGAGGGCACGTGTGACGCCATTACTCAACTTTAAAGCTTAGCTTAAGATTTGGTTAATACTAAAATAAATAAATAATTTTGTTGATGTCTCCATCTCTCCACCATCACTCATCAATCCAATATACGAATCTTCCCATTATGTAGATATGCATATGCTTCTCCACGAAATCTTCGCCGACAATATTTGTGTAGTAAATAGTAGTATGTAGATACGTCCACACGCAGAAAGAAGCATACTGTTTTGTAGTGAAATTGTGTAGAACAATATCACCAAAAAGCATATTAAAAAGTTACATTAGATTTGCTTCTTACATTATCTAGTGACATTTCTTTGCTTTTAATCCAATTCATTACATCATGGCTATTGTCTTACATGGAAGTTGTTGCAAATGTTAACTACGTGTCCATCCGAAGAAACCTCCATTACTTCGAGTTTAAAGAAGATGGGATTAAAACATTCCTACTTCTCGAAATGAATCCAACAACAATACAATTTTAGAATATTCCTGGGATATATAGTTTATCTTGTGTGTGTTGTTATATCTAACGTATTGTTTTGTAAATAGTGGATCCATTCATACGAAGAATAATATAGAACTCGAATTTAACTCGCGGTGAGAGAAACTATTTATAATGTTTAGATTTGGTAAAAAAATGAAACTACAATTTTTTTACCAGAAAAAATAATATTATAGAACCAATCTTAAAATCATGTCATCAAAGCCATATCAAGATATTCTTTTCAGTTTACACAGCAAAAACTACATCAACTTAAAAAAAAGTCACTCATTTTACCATATAATTTTTGCTTCATTATCATTTTACCATTTGAAATATTTTGCCTCAACCAAAACTTCATCATCTCTGAAATTCTGAAAGTATAATTGACGGGATAAAAGCTCACAAAGGAGCACACGAAGGCCCATTAATACTGACTGCACAAAGCAAATGATAAAAACAACGAAGCCCAATAATTGAACTAATCGAAGCTCTTTGTTATACCTTAAATCATTTCTAGCTGTAGCAGTGTGTCTGCATCTCTGATTACTTCATCTTGACTAATTACCTTATTGATCACGTGATAAGTAATACGTGAACTGGAGAACATGTTCATGCACCTGCTGGTTTCCTCTTGATCTCTATTTCTCCTGAGCCATGATTTAGAGAGTAACAAGCAAAACTATCTAGAAACCGAACCAGTTGCACTATTAAGTAGTAAATCATACTTTAGAGAAGCATATCTCTAATCTAATGGTCTTAAATCTATTTTTTTTTTGTAAAACAATCTTAAATCTATTCGATCAAGATTTTGGCAAATGGATAGGAATATATATATTTAGTCTAATGTCTTAAATTAAACCATAACAATTACTATAAATCAGTGTTCTAAAAATCGGTTTAGACGTCGCTTAGGCATTCACCTAATTTATAAATCATATATGAGGAAAACGTTATTTTCAAACTAATTTTTAAAAATATTAGTTTTGATGTTCAAAAAATCAGTCTAAACTTTCGTCTAGTCAATAAATCCTCTACAAAACGTCTAACCATAACCTAATGATTTTAGAAACAGTACTATAAATTACAGTAAAAAGTAAAAAATGAAAACAAGTGAAAAAGATGGTAATATAAATACATTTTATCCACCTGAGCTTTTAGTAAACGTTTTAGAGACTCGCCTGGTTATCTCCGCGCCAAGAGGAACAAAAGAAGAAAAAAAAACTAAACAATCAAAATGGCGATGATCACGCGCAACATCGCCACGCGCCTCCCTCTCCTCCTCCAATCCCAACGCGCCGCCGCTGTCTCCCACATCCACACATCCCTCCCATCTCTCTCCCCCTCGACATCACCGACCTCCTTCACCAGACCAGGTCCTCCTTCCACCTCCTCATCTCCTCCTCCTCAAGGTCTCTCGAAGACGGCGGAGTTTGTGATCTCCAAAGTCGATGATCTCATGAACTGGGCTCGCAGGGGATCGATCTGGCCTATGACATTCGGCTTAGCCTGCTGCGCCGTGGAGATGATGCATACGGGTGCTGCTCGCTACGATCTGGATCGATTCGGTATCATTTTCAGGCCGAGTCCTCGTCAGTCTGATTGTATGATTGTCGCTGGGACGCTTACTAACAAGATGGCTCCTGCTCTTCGCAAGTATGTCTTCTTCGTTACTGTTGCTCTGCTTGTTGATAGACTTGCTTAGGTGATTGTGATTGGGATTGGGATTATCTATTTTTTTCTTGCTATTTAGGGTTAATGTGTTCTGATTTGTGTTGGTTGGTCTGTGTGAAATTGAGAGTTTCTGTGTGGATGTAAGACTAGCTTTAGGTTTTGTTTTGAGTTCATGAACTTAGGTGAAATTTAGCGTACAGAGATGATGAGTAAGCTATGCCATGTAGGAGTTATATCTCGTTTCGTGTAACCTCTGTGCTTTTCTTTTGTGGGGGAGATAAGGATTTTAGATTTTTTTTTAGCTTTGGGAAAGTCTAGGGGTGGGCACTTTATCCGATACCCGAACTCGTACCCGAACCCGACCCGAAATATCCGAACCGAAATAGTAAAATACCCGAACGGGTATTGAGTTAGGAGAGTTTGGATATCCGAATCCGAACGGGTATTACCCGAACCCGAACGGGTATCCGAAGATAACCGAACATATGTACATATACCTATTTATTCCTAGTTTATTTATCTCATTTTATTAAAAATATTTATATTAATGTTATCTATAATTTAAGATCAGATAATATACATATAATTGTAAAAAAAAAAAAATTTGTTACTCATTTAAAATGTATATTAAGCTTCTTATTTCTTATTTTAAACAAAATTTGCATCCAAAATTCAAAAATAACAACCACAATAATGAATTTTATTTTCAATAATTTATTTTCAAAATTATTAATCGTCTAACTTATTAAACATTTTAAAAACATAAAAGTTAATAGTTAAATTTTAAATACATGAAACTTAAGTAATAAAGAATTTGAAATTTTCTTTCAAAATCTAAATATCCGAATCCGACCCGAAATAACTGAATCCGAACTAAAAATATCCGAACCCGACCCGATATGTAAAAATACCCGAACGGGTTCTATACCCCAATACCGAAATACCCGAAAACCTGAAATACCCGACCCGAACCCGAATGGGTACCCGAACGCCCACCCCTATGGGAAACAATGTGTTAGTGTCAGCTATCATGGTTGTATTTAGTAAATTTGGTATTACTAGTTAGAGGTTGGAGATTCATTGTTATTATGTTTTGTTTGAAATAATTTGTAGCTACTTCTTTCTTCTGAGTTCTTACTGTTTTTAGAATCTTGCTTACTTTGCTTGGTTGTCTTGGAGATCTGATTATTCATTGTACTGCGAGGTGTGTTGTTAATGGGAAATTGACATCTGACACACTTGATAAGCTTCCTTATTCTTATGAAGCTTTCATTGAACTGCAGAGATTGTAAATAAACGTATTCTATGGTTATTTTTTTGGTAGGCAGGTGAGCTTATATACCGATGATGTATTTAGGCCCCAGGCATTAGAGATAGAAAATATCCCAGGTTAATCTACTAGCCACAACGAACCATTGGTTCTCAAAACATCAACCACTGAGGCGAGCAACTTTTTGATGCATTTGAGAGATCATTGTTAGCTTGCTTATAAGATGTTGGTGTAGATTAGCTCTTATGCTGAATAAACTAATAGTGATCGAACTACTATTTCGGTTTAAAACTCTCTCTTTTAACCCACAAACTCAGGCTTAGGTGTCTGGTAGAAGTATTCTATGTGGATCAACCCAAATGTTCTTTTTAATCCTATGTAAAGAATTTACTAGTTTTCTAATATCTGGAAACAATGAGACAGGGTTTATGACCAAATGCCGGAGCCAAGGTGGGTGATTTCAATGGGAAGCTGCGCCAACGGAGGTGGATACTACCACTACTCCTACTCAGTGGTTCGAGGCTGTGACAGAATTGTGCCAGTAGACATCTACGTCCCTGGATGCCCTCCAACAGCTGAGGCATTGCTCTATGGACTTCTCCAGCTTCAGAAGAAAATCAACAGGCGCAAGGATTTCTTGCACTGGTGGAACAAGTGATCAAAATCCTCCTTCCAATGCCAAATCGAGTTTTGTTTTCAGTCCACTGTTACCAAAAGCTTGGGGCTAATAAACACATGGATCGTTTCAATGCAATGTTTCGTTTGTGGTGGAGATTGCCATGTAAAGAAGTGCACTTGGAAGTTTTTTTGTTTTTTTTTTCCAGTTCTAAGTTTATTTGTGGAAACTCGAATAAACATAAGATTATGTTGTTCTTTTTGTTATATCGACCAGTTTATCAGCTAAGAATCTTCTGATTCTTGTTAATTATTAAACCATTCGCACGTGTGTAATTTTATGCAAAGACGAGCCAGTGAGCCTAAAGAAAAAGCCCGTATGTCTTATTTTATTAATAAGGTCCATTAACGTTAGGCCCATAACAACCCTAACCATAAAAATTGAACGAGCCCATCTTTTTCCGTAATATAGAAAATCTATAAATACCAACCGGCCGCTCTAAATTTCCCCGAGAAAGGAAACTTTGCTTCTCGAGAGAGAGAAGTATCTTCGAGCCAGCGATAAAGTTGTGTTAACAATAAGTAATCGTTCGTCGTCGTCTTCACTGAGAAAATACTGTAAGCAATGTCTAACGATCACAAGAAAAGACTTGAGTCTAGGTAATTCGATTCTTCTTAGTAAACTTTGTTTAATCATATACCGATTTACTATTCCGGATTCTTATTAGGTTAGAGTGGGAAGGTTTCTCCGAATCAAAGATCAAAAGTGATGGAAATTGCCAGGTTATATAATTACTAATCTTTCTAAATCCATTTATCATCATCAAGTTTCTTATTATGATCGTATATCCTGAAGAATGTTTCTGTTATTACAGTTTAGCTCTATATCTGATCAGCTCTTCAAGTCACCGGACTATCATGAAAAAGTTCGAGAAAGAATAGTGAAACAGGTATTAATGCATCAATCTTAGAAACTTTTTTAAAAAATTTACGGACTGTTGTTTTGTTGTTAACATAGACTTACTCTCATGATGTTATATATGAACTCTTTTCAGCTTAAAACTTGTCCAAAGTTGTACAAAGAGTTTGTTGGCATGGACTCGAGTAAGAAAAGAACAAATGATCTTCCCAAGGACTACTCTGAGTATGTCAAGAACATGTCCAAGAACGGTGTTTGGGGTGATAGCGTCACGTTGCAGGCAGCTGCTGATACGGTTTAACATCTATTTGAGTTTTGATTTTACTCACTTGTTTAAGCTTAATGAACAAATGATTTTCGGTTATGCAGTTTGGGGTGAAGATAGTAGTCATTACATCAGAGAAAGAAGTACCTTCCATGGAGATTGTTCCTAAGTCTTTGACACTCGAGAGAGTCATTTACTTGAGCTATTTGACAGGGGTCCATTACAACTCAATCTACTTAAAAGGTGTGCTTCACACTTTCTTCTTATACTCGAGTTCATACCTTATCTAATCTTCTTCTTCGCAAGTCTTAACTTCATTTTGTTGATTGTTTCAGGTTCAGAGACAGATGCTGCTCCCATGGAGCTACCGGGGAAGAGTAACAACAAGAATATGAATAAGAGTGAGAATGACAAGGACATGAAGCCACATGGGAAGAATGAGAACGATAAGAACAAAAACAACCAGAAGAAGAACAAGGAGAAGGGCAAGAACAAAACGAAGATATAGGCTGCAAGGAGTTTTATACTTGAGTTACAAAACGGTAACAAACAGATATGTTAGTATTACTAGATACCTTGCTATTCCCTTGATTGTTTCATATGCAAGTACTTACGTTTGTGCTTGTAAAATGAGGTTCTTGTTTCATTTGGGAAACATATATGCTAATAAAATGTAAACGCAGACCCAATCGCACTTTATCTCCAACGACAATAAATGTTATAGAGCCAAACTTTGTTGCTTTGAATGTTAAGAGCATAATGAACTATGTCATCTTCTAGTCAAATAAAACAAAAACTCTGAAGCTAGATTCCAACGTACTGGAAAACCAAGTTCATGTATAGAGTATAAGCAAATTGGCTAGAAAGTCAAACTGCATATTATTCATTTATCATCAAAACATGGACAACAAGAACATATCTGGTTAACTGACATCATTCAACCATTTTGTTTGAGGCCAAGTCGTCACTAAAACAAAAAAACACTCAAGATTTTGTTTTAAGAGCGTAGACTACTCTTCTTTTGAATGATCATTCAGGTGCTAATGCTTTTTGAGAGCATTCATCTTGTCCCTGAGGTAATAAAGTTTCGCTCTTCTTACCCTCTTCTTGTCCAACACCTTAATCTCCCTCAGGTTTGGAGAATACCTATCAGCAAAACACCCCCACTCACATATCAGCAGTTTTCTTATGCAAGGAGCCTTTTGAGGCTCTAAGAATGTAAATCCAACTCCGCCAAAAGTTTAAAATACTTACAAGGGGAACATTGATTCGACTCCCACTCCAGCCACAAGCCTTCTAATCCTAAACGTAGAGTTAAGACCAGCATTACGCCTTGCAATGACAATGCCTTTCACGATTGAAACACGCCTCTTGTTCTCAGGCACTTCCTGTTTCAAAACAAGGGAAACCCAACAAAGTTAAATGCAACAAAGGTTTGATCCTTTGGAAGGCATCTCTCTCCTACGAGTTTCAATAGTATTTACCACTTTGAGCTGCACAATGTAACCAGGCCTTATCTCAGGTATCTCTCTACGAGTTCTCACTTCCTCAACTGCCTCCTTGTCTACAATCTACACAAGAATGCGACTTTTGTAACCAGTGATTTATTTATCCATTACCAATCGTCAAAGTTCAAAAGTTGTACCTGCATTATATGCTTGGCAGTTTTATCAAGCCTCTTGAACTTGATTCTTGGAGGCGCATCAGGAGCTGACACAGAAAGTCCTTGAGAAGGAGTAGACTGAACAGAATCTCCAACGGTGGAAAAGCACCTCGATGAATACGTAAAGTTATGTTTCTGCCAATCACCATTAAAAGTCAAAGAATATCTCAAAAACACAAAGAAGCCTAATCTAAAACAACAAGAGCATGAAACTGGTTTCATCTGGCATCTACATAACAATTACTACCACACGAGAGAAAGCCCACGAGAACCAACAAACAAACTAAAATCGATGATGCTTTGGGACAATGAAGCATTTTAATCTTCCAATTTCAACCTAACCATCATCATTTTTCTATCTTGTGATTACCATAGCGATCAGAATCCCTCACATATGTTATAGAATGTGTTTCCCTTTGTCATTCATTGAACGTGATTACAAGATATATATACACAAGTTAGTTGAGTTGTTACACAATACAAGGGATAAGATCTTAGAGGTTAGTAGATCCTAGAATATAGGTAGGCATATTCTATCACCCTCCCTCAGTCTAATCGTCGGGTGAACGAACGTTTAGACTGGCTTTGAACTCATCGAATAAGGAAGATGGTAGCCCTTTCGTAAAGATGTCCGCGTATTGAGATGTGGAAGGAACATGTAGCACACGAACTTGGCCCATAGCAACTTTCTCTCTAACAAAGTGAATGTCGATCTCGATATGCTTTGTACGCTGATGTTTTACCGGATTATTTGAAAGGTAGACCGCACTCACATTATCGCAGTAAACCAATGTTGCCGACGTAATGGGACAGTGAAGCTCTAGGAGAAGATTACGTATCCAACACGTCTCAGCAACTGCGTTAGCTACGCCTTTATATTCTGCTTTGGAGCTGGATCGAGAGACCGTCTGCTGTCTTTTGGAAGACCATGAAATGAGATTATCGCCTAAGAAGATGCAGTACCCAGAAGTGGACCTTCGAGTGTCTGGGCATCCTGCCCAATCGGCATCCGTATATGCTGTTAGAGACTTAGACTTGGACTTGTGAAGCTGTAAACCGTTGGTGATTGTTCCTTGGAGGTACCGGAGAACGCGTTTCATTGCGAGGAGATGAGGGAGGCGTGGATCATGCATGTATAAGCATAGCTGATGGACTGCATACTGAATATCTGGACGAGTTAGAGTCAAGTATTGAAGCGCTCCAGCAATGCTTCTGTAGTAGGTGACGTCTTTGATCCTGTCACCTTCTTCTGCCGAAAGTTTAGACTTTAAGTCTACCGGAGTGGATATGGGTTTGCAGTCTTGCATTTTTGCACGAACAAGGAGGTCTTTAGCATATGCTGACTGGCTGAGAAATAAACCCCCTTTCTTGTACTCTGCTTTTATGGCAAGAAAATACGAGAGCCTGCCTTCATCGGACATTTCAAACTCCTTCTTTAAAAGGCTGGTGAAGTGAAGACGAAGTTGTGGAGAAGAGGCGGTGATGAGTATGTCATCGACATACAGCAGAATGTAAGCACGATCTTGACCTCGTGCATAGACATAGAGAGAAGTATCGCTGGTGGTCTTGACGAAGCCTAGTTTGAGAGCAAAGTCTGAGAAGCGAGCGTTCTAGGCACGTGGAGCTTGCTTGAGTCCGTATAGAGCTTTGTTGAGTCTGCAAACGTAGTTAGGTTTAGCCGGATCAACCATTCCAGGAGGCTGGTGCATATAGACCGTCTCGTCGAGGAGTCCATGTAAGAACGCATTCTTGACGTCCAGTTGATGTACCTCCCAATCGTTGGCAAGAGCAAGGTGTAAAACGGCCCGGATTGTGACTGGTTTGACAACTGGGGAGAAGGTTTCATCGTAGTCCATGCCGTGTTCTTGTGACTTTCCGTTCGCGACCAGAAGAGATTTGTGACGTCGTATCTTTCCATCCGGACCTGTCTTATGCTTATATAACCAAATAGATCGAATAATGTTAGCATTAGCAGGTCTAGGTACAAGCGTAAACGTCTTATTCTTAACTAAAGCACCGTACTCATCACTCATACTCGGGTTCCAGTTAGGATCAGAAAGAGCTTTGAGATGGCTTTTTGGAATGGGAGAGATGGTGGTGGTGTTTAGAGATGTGACAGACCTTTGTTTGCGAGTGCCGTCCCGACTCCGAGTAGTCATTGGATGACGTATCGGCTGAGTAGACGGAGCCGGAGGCATAACGACAGGCTGAGATTGAGCTGTGGAAGGTGCTGTCAAAGAAGGAGACTGGATTCTTGAGAAAGGAGATTCCAGAATAGCTTTGAACAGAGGATGAGTTTGTGTTTCATGATCAAGGAAGTTATAGGCTTTTTGGTGGGATTTTGCGGCTGGTTCAGCTGCAGGAAATTTTGTTTCATCAAAGATAACATGACGGGAGATGATAATTTTTCTGGTTTTGAGGTCAAGACATCTGTATCCTCGATGATTTGTAGGGTAACCGAGAAATAGAGATGGGGAAGAGCGGGGCGCAAGTTTATGAAGAAAAGAGTGGTTTAAGTTGGGGAAACAAAGGCATCCAAAGGTACGAAGGTGATCATAGGTGGGCTTTTTATTGTGAAGCTTTTGGAATGTTATTTGTTTGTTGATGGAGGTAGAAGGAAGGATGTTTAAGAGGTGAACGGATGTGTGAAGGGCTTCGACCCAAAAAGAGGGAGAGAGTCGGGCCTGGTAGAGAAGAGTACGAATGGTGTTGTTGATGGTGCGTATCATACGTTCGGAACGTCCGTTTTGTTGAGAAGAGTGAGGACAGGAGAATCGAACATTAACACCATTAGCCGAGAAATAATTGTGAAATTCGGCATTGTTATACTCTCCTCCATTATCACACTGGAAGGATTGAATTGTGGTTTTGAACTGTGTTTTCACAAAGGAAGCAAAATGAGTGAATTTTGTGAAAACTTCTGATTTTCTGCGCAAAGGATAAACCCAAACAAAGTGAGAATAGTCATCTAAAAATAAGACATAGTATCGTATTCCACTAATGCTGGGAACAGGAGATGTCCAGATATCAGAGTGTATTAGTTCAAATGGAGAAGACACAATTCGATTACTTGAATGAAAAGGCAGTTTTAAGTGTTTACCCATTTGACAAGCCTCACAACAGATTGGAAGCTTGCCTTTATTACAAGAAATAAGCTGAGAAGAAATTAAAGACTGAAGAGAAGAATTATTGACGTGGCCAAGTCTTTTATGCCACAAGTCTGGAGCTGCAATGATAAAAGCTGAAGGTGAAGAGGAAGTCGCCGGTTTACTCAGCTGACTAGCGACGGAGTAGAGATCTCCGGAGCTATTACTGCGGAGCAGAATCTTCTTGGTGTTGAGATCCTTAATAGAAAAACCAAAAGGGTCGAATTCGACCGAACACCAATTCTCATTAGTAAACCGACGAACAGAAATAAGGTTTTTGATGATATTAGGAGCAACAAAGATATTTTTGAGAGCAAGGGTACGAGATGGTGTTTGGATAAATGAATGACCAGAAGAAGTAATAGGGATAGAAGTACCGTTACCGACTATGACCGAGTTTCCGGTGTTTTGTTTAAGAACAGAGTTTAGCATACCTGACGACGATGCTAAGTGAGCCGTTGCACCAGAGTCCATGTACCAGTCCGCTGCGCCTGGATCTCCGATGGTCATGGTGTTGAATGCTTGGGCAAAGTCGGTGGTTGGTTGGAGCTCAGCAACATTGGCTTGTGCAGGTCTTTGCGGTGGTGGTCCAAGTATACCGCGGGGAGACTGCATCCATGGTGTGGGGTACTGTGGCCATTGCATCATCGTGTTGGGGAAGAATGGCTGGTGCCATGTTTGGTTCCAATTTGGTGACCAGTTGTTGTTCCAGAAGCGGCCACGTCCACGACCTCTCCCACGTCCACGACCGCGGTTTTGTCTATCATTGTTGCGAGGTTGAGATGGAGCTTTTTCTGTGTTGACAGTCAGAGCGGTTGAGGAGGAGGGAGTGTTGTTGGTTGTTGGAGATTTGTTGTTGCGTTTGAGTCTCGTTTCTTCATTCACAAGCATTGATTTGGCAGAGTCAAATGTTGGGAACGGTTCCTTATGCTTGATAACATTTATGATGTTATCATACTTCTCGTTCAAGCCATTGAGAAGGTACAAAACTAGTGTTCTGTCTGCAACAGGAGCATCAAGATTAGCCAAAAGATCAGAAGTAGATTTAAGTTTTTGACAATACTCATGTATGGTGAGATCTCCGAGCTCGGTAGTTCTCAGATCGTGATCGAGCTGCAGTGCGCGAGACTCCTTGTTATCTCTGAACTGGTTCTCGATCCTAAGCCAGACATCTCGTGCCGTGCCGCCGGTTTTGAATGTGCTTTGGAAGAGAGGTTCTGCGAGAGTTCCGTAGAGCCATAGTTTCACCAGCCCATCACGTTTCTTCCACGGGGTATCATCGTCGTTGGCTGGTACGGAAGTGCCGTCAAGGTGTCCCAATACGTCAAATGCGAGGCAGTGCATGAGAAGTAATTCACGCCAGGCATCGTATTTGTGATCTTCGAGGTCAAGCTTGATAGGTATGTGTGTTTTGATGTTGGTAACACCAAAACATCGTTCACGCTCATTGTTGTTATCCATGAGGGAAGCGAAATGGAATAACAGAAGTAGAAAAAGAGTAGAATGATAGAAGAATGAAAGAAAATGAAAGAGAAGAGGAAGATTTATCGAGAGAAGAGATGTAGAAAAGGTCAAAGGAGCTTTGAAGCTTCTGATACCATGTTATAGAATGTGTTTCCCTTTGTCATTCATTGAACGTGATTACAAGATATATATACACAAGTTAGTTGAGTTGTTACACAATACAAGGGATAAGATCTTAGAGGTTAGTAGATTCTAGAATATAGGTAGGCATATTCTATCAACATAAACATTCTAAGCTAAATCTACACGATTACTCATCAGTGTTCAGCAAGAACAACCCAATAGCAAAGCTTCCATCTTTTCTACAGTAATAGCAAACTGTAACCAATTTGAGCTTAGATCTCTATTGATAACTAATCATCCGAGAAGAATACCAATTAATACACAACAATTAGCTAAAAACGAGAGAAGTGGCTTACAGGTAGTAATAAGGAAGAGGAAGAAACAGACTTTGTCAACGAGCTAATGAGATACTTCGCTGGTGTATCGAAAGCTCTGGTGGAACGGAAAGAATCATTATGAGACAAGTTTGGAGAAGAAGACGAAGTGAAACGGGGAAGAGTGTTGGAGATGGAGAAACGGTTTCTCTGGAGCAATCTTGTACTGCTACGAATCGATTGCATTTTCTCCGTAAAGAGATGATTCGATTCTAGTGCTCTGAAGGAATTCCAAATCTGTTTGGTTTGGAGAAGTTTTACAGCGGAGTTTGAGTCCAAAGAAATGTGAGAAGCTGCAAAAACCCTCGCCATCTCCTCCAAGGTTCTTTTCTTTATTGATAATTTGCGTTTTAACCCCTGATATTTTAAGTTTTATTTCAATTGAACCCTTTATTTTGTTTCCTCTGTTGATTAGTAATTTTATGCGCCCTGACTGATTGTTTAAGGTTTTCTTTATCACATCCAAATGCTAAATACACAGTTGATTATTCTTCACCGTCTGGAAAAAGCAGCTTGAACTTTCTATTTTTCTTCAAAGAAAAAAAAAAAAAGTCTTCAACCATTCCTATCAACAAATAATTCCTCCAACTGTTTTTTTCACAAATCCATTAAGGAAACGTTGAATCCGTTATTAACGGTTTCTTCACCGTCTTGTTTTGTGAATGAGAAAAAAAAACACGTTTCTCAAGCCAAAAGTCTCATTCTTCAAATGATTTCACACGCAAAATATGCTTCTCTTACAAAATCGACCGCAAATTTTCAAAACGATGTCGGATTCATTTCACTAAACGGCACTGTAGTTCTGACTAATTCTGAAAGCATATGGATATTTCAAAGCCGGTTGTTGTTATCTCGAAGCAAAACTCAATTATGTAGCTATTGAACATTGGAGCGTTTACAATCTTGGATTTGTTAGAGGTAACCTATATTTTCAGTTTTTGTATGTATTAAGCTTAGCTTAGATCATATTTTTACTCAGTTTCCACCAAAATATTAGTCGGTTCAAATTAAACCAAGTAACAATCACATTTATCTTCACATTATAATCGAATTTCTAGTCAAGTTTTTGATCAGAAGACTTGTAAAACAAGCTCTTATGGTACGCAGACAAGCTTAATTCACGATTTAAGCGAAGAAGGAGAAGAACAAACATCCATAAATAGAATAGAATAATATCATATCAAAATAATATCGCAAAATCGTCTAGAAATCACAAAGCCACAATAAGATAAAAGAAAATAGAAAGAGATCTATAGCTCCGGAATAAACACCAATATCATAAATAATGCTACTACTCGATCAATTTTTTTTCAAAATAATATTCTCCATCACAAAGGCTTTAGATCCGAAGAGCAGAGCCGAAAACAAGAGCTGCAACAGCTGCAACACCAGCTGAGACGATGGAAGGCGAGAAAGCACCAGATCCAGAAGTAGGACTTGGCGCTGGTGCCTCACTCTGAGCTGAAGCAACGGTAGCGACGACGGAGACAATCACTGCGACGAGAGCAACAACGGAAGCCTTAGAGATCGCCATTTTCAGAGATTTGTTAGAGAGTAAAAAAAGGAGGCTAGGGTTTTTGTTATTTCGAAAATACTTTAAACTCAGAAAGGTTTTTGTAAAATTAGCAATGTGTTGAGGCGTTTATAAAGAGGTTGAGCATACGCGGAGCTGTCCGGTTTAGGTAACCGGTTTTTCCAGCATTACAGCTGGTCCCGCCAATCATGACGATCAACGGTTTATATTATTCCAATGTTTACTGAGATTTCGACAGGTCATCTAAACGGCGCCGTTCTAACATATGTTGCCGTTTTTTGAACGTTTACCGAGGCGCGTGGATCTAAATCTTCGACATCGGTCGGTGAGATTGTTGTTTGGCGCGTGAAATGTGTTGAGCTGTCCTTTTTTTCTTTCTAAACCACGCGGTTACGTGAAGGAAACGACCAAGATTCAGAGACTTGTGGGGATCGGATTGGTAAAACACGGCTAATGCTAAAGAGCACTTAAATTACGTACAAGACACATGCGTATAGGAAGGAAAATACTGTCCTTAATTTCTCCAAGCAATGTTGATTTTTCATTGGGGAATTTCAACACTTGGTCATATATGTTAAGCTAGATGGGCTCCCAACCTAAAACCAATTGGTGATAAGTGGATTGATCCATCTAATCTTATATACTAGATAGAATTTCTTCCAACAACCGATGTGGGACCTTTGTCCCTAATACACCCCCTCGAGATGATGATTCTTTTGGCTTCAATCTCGAAATGTTCTGCAATGATCGATGAGCCGATTTTGGGCTGGATCGATAAGGATCGGGTTGGACTGCGTGGATCGTGGACTATGATACCATGTTAAACTAGATGGGTTTCCAACTTAAAACCAATTGATTATAAGTGAATTGACTCATCTATCTTATATATCACTAAGAATCCCTTCCAACTTCCGATGTGAGACACTTTGTGTCTAATAATATATGTCTATTTCTGTGAAGACGATATTAATACCGAAATTTCCATAATTACCAGTTTTGTTCAATGTAAAAAACATCATTTTAAACGTATAGGTTTTGATTTGTCTACCTTTTGAAAAAAATGCCAAAAATTAGTTGCATAGATGAAACATTTATCCTTTCTACTTGCTTCATTACTTTCAAAAAGTTGGTGAATTCTCTTGAGTCTCTCTATTATAATAAACCATAGGTTATAATTGGTAAACAATAACAAATAAATAAATACGGCATTATTGTATCCTTTCTGCACTCCAATAAAATAAACATTGGCCTTCTGAAACCTTTTAAACAACTTTAATGAATATGCCCGTTGGATTGTTTTTTTTTTATTAAGAGAGAGACAGATGGTAAGAAGTTGGCAGCTCTTGACGGGTTCGAGAAGTTTCCGTAGGTGTAAAAGTGTGTTTACACCTGGCTGTGTTCTGTTCCCATTGCCACTTTTGCCAGGTATTAAGTATTCACTTTCAACCCAAAAACTTTGGTCGGTAAGCAAAATACTACTAACTTCAAAGAATCACAAGGAGACGAGAGCCTTATCAGTCTTTGTCCTATATCAAACTTTTAGTTTCTTATCTGACTTAAGCATCATGCTTAACTTCCAAACTTGTATAAAAACAACAGAAACAAAATGATATAGAATTAAAATCTCTAATATCCCAGAATCTTGGGAGCAATGTGAAGCAAAGGCCCTAAAGCACTAGGAGCAAACTTCCTAGCAAAGAGATAACACATAGAAGTGTTACGACCATTGTAACTGCAACTCACACCATCAAATATCTTTTGAAAGAAGCTCTCAGTAACATCTGATTCCCCGAACGTAGCCGGGTGGGGTCCCCCTCTAGACCAGTCCGTCCACGTCACGCTCCGGTTAGCCAACGCCATTGGTTTCTCAATAGTCAGCATAGTAGGGAAATAATGCTCGTCTGAATAGCAAGCAGGTCTACAAAACTCTCTGAATTTCGGGTAATACAATGTGTCTTTGACTATGGTAACTGCCAGGTCACGGTCTACCTCAAACCATTGAGACCCTTTTCGCCATTTGGTGATGGGAACTTCAGGTTCCATGTTTTCGTTGTAGCGGCCTTGACCGAAGGGTCCAGGGACGTCATCAGCACCCATGAAGCTGTGTTTTGATTGGCTTAAGTAGGTGTAGATTGTTGTGAAGTTGTAGAGTGGGATGCATGACTCTGAGACTAGAACAAACCATTCGTTGGAGATGTCGAGAAGCGCGTTTGCGAGAAGCCGCTTCTCTGCATCGCACATGTTCATTCTCCCCCATTGTGCAACCTGCTCAATGATGTAGATACCCAAATTTAACAATAAAATCAAAGACATAACCAAGTGCTAGTCTGCTAGAACAGAAAATTATTAAAGAAATCAAGTACTCCCTTAATTAACACACTGTTTTATTAATTAATTATTAGTGGAAAAAACTATCAAAAATTTGCATTGAAAATATAAAACGAATACTTATAATCAAACACATTTTAAAGTCTACAACGACATTAAAAATGAAACGGAGGGAATATGATTGGTAATGCCAACTAATCACTTTAAACGGAGTATAATTTAACAGCTACATTTTGTGATACTATGTGACTGGCAATGCCAACTAATCACTCAATCAACAATTATTCTTAATCACTCAATCAACCGCACCTCATACTATATGTCTATGAAACATAAAGAGACTAATAAGAAACAGACCTGACTTGGTATCTGCCTCTGGTGGAAAACAGAATCAGCTGGAAACTTGGATGTAAAAGACGGATCAGGATGAACGTAAACAGAGTAAAGACCCTCATGACCCTTCAAGAACCTCTCCCAAAGCGAAGCAAGAGGCAAGGGACATTTAGTCAAGAACATAAACGCAATCTTCGGAACCCTTTTAAACGGATATCCTTTTCTCCGAGGCCAGAAGGAGGCACGCCAGAGTAGCTCCTCATCGGTCATGTTATGTATCAGAACAGGAGGAGGTTGTATCCATTTACTTAAACTGTTCGGCTCGTCTTCACGGCATGGGACAAAGGTGGAAGTGACAGTGGTTACTACACTTTGTAGGCCAGTGTAGTTAATTGTAGAGACACTAATGATGAAGATAGTAACAGAGAAAGCAAGAAAAAGACCTAGGACAAGTGGCAGTTTCGGTCTAAATGCCTTATACTGTCCTGTCCTAACCGAGATTACATTATCTTTACCTTCTTCCACCTGTACAACCCTAGTATGCATCCTTTGAACACTATAGACACACTATCAACTAGCCCTAAAACTCAGACAAATCTAAAGTTGATAATCTTAATTTACTTGTAAGATCCTAAAACTAAATCTCTAGATCTCATCGCTAGTTCACCGGAACAGGTAAAGAGCGGGGTAGCTACTTGAAGATAAGTAAGTGGAGGATAGTCCACGTGTCGAGTTTACAGGCAAAAAAAAAGGAAGAATCAAATAGTGAGAAGATTAACAGGAAAACACTGAGAAGTTATGAATCTGTCTCGAAGCTTTGAGAAAGATGACGAATCAAGAAGACGGACTTTGAAAAGTAAAGTGAAACGGTTTTGTCTTTTTTTGAGTTCACCGCTGGTCTGTTCTCGTGGTTTGAAATATAAAGCGATTATTAAAATTATGTGGTTTTAATATTTAATTAAGAAAATTGAGTTAAGCGAGGGCAATTAAAATTAATCGAATAATGAATGCAAAAGTCTCGTGGCGATATATGAATGCAAAAACAATTGAGGTCAAATATGCTAATAAAACTGTATAAAATAATATTAATAATTTATTAAAGAAAAAAATCAAAAATATTAATATCTATACTAGTAAAATCAGAGAATGTTAAATAAGCACAAGTAATATTGTAATATATTAACATGATTAAAATAATTAATTATAATATTTAAAAGGGGAATGAAATCCTCTTGAGTTTTTAAAAAGTTAATAAAATCTAGTTAGAATCTTTTTATATGGAATGCTATCTAAGATAATAACAAAAGAGAGAATACAAAAAAAAAGAAAAGGAATGTGTTAAAAGTTGACAAAAAAAAAGGAATGTGTTCAAAGAAGAAAGGAAAGTATCTGTAAATATAAAGACTCATGAGACAAATAGTAAAAACAAAACATAGAAAATTACGGAACAATATCTTTTAACATAAACATAAACATATATACTTATCAACACCATATTCTGCCGTAGCGACTAAGGGAAGAGGATTATGGATTCCGAGGACTACTATATGGAATCTGGAGACGAAGATCTTTACAGCGACGGTGCAGATGATTACAACGACAGTGATGATAAAGATGTAAGTTTCCTCGTGGATGAGGATGACGATTCCTCAACGATCTCCTCGCCTCGCTCCAATATAAATTATGTCGTTCTCAAGGAAGAAGATATACGCAGAAAGCAGGAGAATGATATTGCACAGGTTTCTTTGGTACTCTCTCTAAGCAAGGTCGAAGCTAGTGTTCTGCTTCTTCACTATCACTGGAATGTTAGTAAAGTTAATGATGAATGGTTTGCTGATGAGAATAGAGTTCGGACAAGTGCTGGCTTGGAAAGAGGATCTGTTGTGGTTCCATATTCTGCAGGCGAGAAACTTATGTGTGGAATATGCTTTGACGACTTCTACCCTGTACATATTGTACCGATTGTGTGTGGTCATGGTTTTTGTTCTACCTGTTGGACGGGTTACATCACCACAGCCATCAACGATGGACCAGGATGTTTGTTGCAAAAATGTCCTGAGCCATCTTGTCGAGTTGCTGTTGGACGAGACATGGTGGAGAAACTGGTTTCCGTTGAAGCCAAGGAAACGTATGATAGGTATTTTCTTAGATCTTATGTGGAAGAAAGCAAAAAGACCAAGTGGTGTCCTGCTCCAGGATGTGAGCATGCGGTTGAGTTTTCTTCCACTGGGACTGGAAGAAGTTACGATGTTTCGTGCTTGTGTTCACATAGCTTCTGCTGGAACTGCACTGAAGACGCTCACCGTCCTGTGGATTGCGACACAGTTTCACAATGGGTACTCAAAAACAGCGCTGAAGCTGAAAACACCAACTGGATACTTGCCAATTCCAAGGGTTGCCCCAAGTGTAAGCGTCCAATTGAAAAGAACCATGGGTGCATGCACATGACATGCACACCACCTTGCAGACATGAGTTTTGTTGGCTTTGCCTTGGCGCATGGTCTAGTCACGGGGAAGCAACTGGCGGGTTTTATGCATGCAACGGGTATTCGAAGGCTAAGGCACAAGGACTGTATGATGAGGCTGAAAACAAGCGAGAGATGGCAAAGCACTCGCTCGAGAAATACACTCATTATTATGAGCGATGGGCAGGTAATCAAACGTCGAGGCAAAAAGCTATTGGGGATCTGGAGAAGTTCTTATCAGAGGATGTTATGATGCTTAGTGACAAACAATGCATACCAGAAACTGAGCTCGGGTTCATCGAAGATGCGTGGCGTCAGATCATTGAATGCAGAAGGGTGCTGAAATGGACATATGCATATGGGTATTATCTACTCGAATCTGAACAAGAAAAGAGACAGTTTTTCGAGTATATGCAAGGGGAGGCTGAGTCTGGTTTGGAGAGGCTCCACAAATGCGTAGAGAAGGAAACAGAGGTGTTTCAATATTCTGAAGACACTCCAAATCAAGACTTCAAGGGTTTTCGGACAAAACTAACTACTTTGACTAGTGTAACCAAAACTCACTTTGAAACTCTGGTGAAAGCTCTGGAGAATGATCTTTCTGATGTTGGATTCGCAAGCGGTGTTGAGGTAACTACTTTAGCTCTTTGATTGACTTGCTAGTGTCTATGAACCAAACCAGAGTCTCTTCTCTTGTCTGAAATTTTTTTTACAATGTTTATGAACTTGATTGATGTAATAAAGTTCGTGAAACCTTTACTCACCAAGCAACTCTTTTTTTATTCATTAAGCATCCACAATTTATTTATCAATTTGGGTTTTATATAGAGATACCTTTTTCTTTAAGTCAATTTCAATCGCATCTCGAACTTCTTCCCAACAAGCAATGCCAGTCTAGAAACCTCCACACTCATAAACTTGGGATCATCATCGTCCACAACTGTCTTGAGAAGAGAGATCCTTGGCCCTCTCAACCTCTCTCCTGTCCTAACCTCGTACGTTTTAACACTCTCCACGTTCTCAAACCCAACGAACGTCACTTTCCCGATGCTCCATTTCATTCTTGACGCGTACTCTGGGTTCACCACTTCTGATCTCAGTACCACGGATTTTCCGTTTACGTAGCACCGGAACTTCACGAGGGTCCAATCACGGTTCCCTCCTTCATCTCCCATCTGTATGTTTTCGCCATCATCGAGAAACAATTCGCCGGTGATATTCTCAAGCTTGCTGGCTACAACTAGAAGCTCAAATGGTTTCGTTCTGGCTTCTCTTGTTGTCATTGCTTCTCCTTGCATAGCCACAATACTACCTGTTACAAATAGTTAAAATCAAGTTTGGTTCAAGCTCAACTTCCTTATCAAACCGGGAAACTAGTACTACTTATAATTTACTACCTTCTCGGACATGAACGTTGACGTGATCGGCGGGAGTATCAAGCCTAACGTGCTTGCCAGAATTTCCACCGACGGCAAAAGAATAGTTAAACATATCGAACCAGTTCCCGGCGGGGAAATATGCATCGACGGACACTATCCCTTTCTCCAGCGCGGGAGATATCATTATGCTTTTACCGATCAAGAACTGTGAACTGATCTCATAGGTATTAGTGTCTTTAGGGAAGGAGAAGAAGAGCGGTCGTGCGATGGGGATGCCGCTAACGTGAGCCTTGTACATTAGTGTGTAGAGATGTGGGAGGAGTCTCATACGAAGGCCGAGAACCTTTCTTGCGGAGGAAGCAACCGAATCCCATAGGTATAGTTCTTGTCTAGCAGTATCTTTTGACGAATGATCTCTTGCAAAAGGGTAAAACGCTCCAAGCTGATAAGTTAAGACTTAAGAGCCATAGTTAGAACATTGAACTCAGTAAGAAAATCTGCAGTTTATGTCTGAGAATTAATCACTTTACCTGGATCCATCGACGACATAGTTCCTCAGTGGTATTATGTGCGAAACCACAGATATCAGCTCCAACCATTGGAATCCCAAACAGTCCAAAGTTGAGAATCCCTGGGATTGAGTAAGCCAAGTCCTCCCATTTTGCAGCATTATCTCCCGTCCAGTGAGCAGTGTATTTCCCTGAGCTTACAAACGTGGACCGCGACAGAAGAAACGGTCTCTTTCCCGTTATATCCTCCACAGCTTGGTGAGTGGCTTTGGCTTCCAAGAGTCCATACAAGTTATGCGCATCGTATTCACTAACATTCCCAAAATGGATAGCGGTTGCTGGTACTGTCTTATTATTAGTCGAATTTTTGTGCCCTAAGTTGTTGATCTTGTAAGGAGGATCATCGAGTGTAGATCCAGGGGACGGAGGTGAAGTTATGAAATTTGACAACTCATTCATGTCAAGCCACAAACCATCCAAAGGGAGAGTTTCCTGGAACAGCTTGATCTCGTTGCTCCAGAAAGTTGCAGCAGCTGGATTTAAGAAGTCAGGGTAGTATACTTTCCCAGGCCAAACCTCACCGAGATAAGGTTCACCATCTCGTTTTATGAAAACATCTGCCTCCATTCCTCTGTTATATGTCCCGTAAGAGGAGCTATTCACACCAATACCTACACACGCAAACCCAAATTTTCATCTCTTGAGACAATATGTTATAGACTCTAAGAGAGAGTTTATACCTGGATCCAAGATCAACACATACTTCTGACCATTCTTGTGAAGTGTATCCACAAACGATTTCATCTTATCCTCCGGGAAGTTCACAGGGTCCAAAGTGAAGTCTTTGTAACCATCCATGTAATCAATGTCTGTCCACATAACCTCAAGAGGTATTCCAGCTTTTGCATATCCATCAACCACAGATTCAAGATCTGAAACATTGTTGTATCCATACCTACACTGATGAAATCCTACACCAAATATAAAACCCCAATAAAGTAAGTAATCATAGAAACATTTTCACAACAAAACACCATGTAATTAAAACTATTTTGGAGATTAAATCTCTCTCAACGGAGCTTGAACCTGTGACCTCAAGATCCCTACCATTGCATCCTCATAACTGAAAATGCACAAAGAGAGCAAAAAGCTCTTACCAAATGACCAATAAGGCATAGGTGCAGGTCTTCCAATAAACTCTGTATACTGATTCATCACCATCTCCGGCGAAGGTCCAACGAACACATACAGATCAATGACACCACCAATCACATTATAACTAATCCTACTTCCATCATACCTCACATCCATTCCATTACTGTTCATCAACAGAACACCGTGACTCATCCCCGCTTCATCGTGACCGTTAGATCCTCTCACATCCATGTAAAACGGATGCGATCCGTAGAGGTTAACATCCGGATTCTCGCTCCCGATGTCAGCGTTCCACAGAGTCAATGCATCTCCAGGGATCAATTTCAACGATCGCTTCGTGTGCTCTCCGAGACCGTAGAGATTCGATCGGGATTCCGGTAAGGCGGAAGTTAGTTGGAGGAATTGGTCTTTGAAGAGGAAGTAAGTGTTGTTTGGATCTGATGGATCCGGCGATGCGTCGAAGAGGATGCCGGAGGAGCGTCTGGAGACGGAGAAACCGAACGGCGTCGTTTTGTGGAGTGTGAATATTAAGTCTGATGATGGATCTTCTAAGGTATTGTTCTCCGATGAGTTTCCTTCCGTTAAGAAACGGCGTGGGGAGTGGTTTGTTACGGTGCGAGGGATAACGGTCTCCGGTATCTCCCATCTTTGTTGAGTAGAGTCTGTTACTCTGATTCTCAAACGGTCACTTGTCTCTAAGCTGTAACATATGGTTATTATATGTAAATACATATCTTATAATATACAAATCATTATTGTTTAGTAGATAGATTAGAGTGAGAGAGAGAGAGGAGATTATTATATGACCTGACGTGAAGACTAAGCGTTTGAACATCTGGTGCGTAGACGGACGATGGTTTGATAAGATCAAGCGTTGCCGTCAAAACCTTCGAGTTTGAATCAATTGCCACTGATCTGACGACGTAGCCGTATCCTACTTGTGAGCTTCCATGTGAGGGTAAAGCTAAGCTCCAGAAGAAGATGACAACGGCGAGGATAGTGGGTAACCACTGAGTAAGTGACATTCTTTTTTTTTGGTTTCCGACAGTTTTTCTTTTTCTGCTCATAAAGTGTACACGTTTTGAAGATAAGATTAATTAATACTTTCTGAATTTGTGACCAGTGAGTGAGCTAACCAAAGTCGTGTAAGAATGGTCGTGGTCAATGTGATATACAGTTCTATTAAATAATGACAAAGTTGAATCGTAAACTAATTAAGAAGAAGAATCACACACGATATATACCGATTCAATACACTATTGTCTATTATTTTTTATTTTATTTGAAACACATTTTTTTTTTGAAACACACACTACTGTCTATTAAAAATTTAAAACCATAACAAATTGTACTATCTTACCAAGAATCTTTAACAATTATCTTTCATTTTAAATGCAGAATTATTGCCACAACAACAATGGGCACATTAGCCACCGATAGAAGTCTCCCATCAATCAAGAGCAAGAACAACAACCCCCATTAAAATAAAACATTGACTTCTAGAATGAATGTAAATATATCATTTGATTTAATCAGGCCTTTTTGGTTTCATCTGCATTTAATTTGGTTCATGAGAAACCAAACTACAATCTTTTAAGGGAATGCTCTCTCTCTCTCTCTCTTTTGGTAGGATAAATGTAGATATAATCAGAGATTGCTCTCTCTCTCTCTCTCTCTCTCTCTCTCTCTCTCTCTCTCTCTCTC